AACTTAATTCTGAACCACCCTGTACCTATTTCAATTTGATATCAATTGATAGTGTTGAGATGGGGACATGGAAACCGTTTTGTCCAATTATGAATAGTTTCGAAACAAAAAAATCTAAAAGTTGAAAAATCTCGATTTTTCACACCATATATCTCTGTAATTGTCACTTCTACACCCCAAGTGTAATAGGTCAGTATAATCAGCACTCCAGGGAGAATCTGAAAATGTAATAATATACCGGGTGTCCTATTCCAAAAATCAAAGTTATAGCTACTTTTCAATATAAGCGGCAACGTCGCAACGCTGAGAATATTTTAGGTCGATAGAGCACAACTAATTATCCAAGGTATCAAATTTTCAGGATAATCCCAAGTCACGTTCTCTAGTAACGTCTAATGTGCCTTCCACTCCACCGTGAACGCCTGTATATTTTGAATCTTCTTTTCTACACTGTGTTCCCACTTCAACTGTTTACAGGGTGATTCAAAATTCCAAGTGAATGTTTTATGGACATATCGTTGGATTCAAAATAAGATATTTCCTTCATATAAAGTTGGTTGTTGTTGTTCTAAAGTTGTTCTATCCGTCATTCGGTTGCCCCCTTACGAGCAACCCTCAAAAGTCTTCGAGAGTCTTGTGCGAGCAAGGAATGACGGGGGCCTTACCTTTTAACGTGTGATCCCAAACACTTTCTTGGGCCATCAGAAAAATTTCTGCAGTCGACGGGATTCGAACCCACGACCGGCAAGCGAATGCGGATTAGAATATGGACACTCTGTCCGCACGGCTACCTGGCCACCCATAAACATGTGTCTTGAAATGCTTCCCCTCCTAGCTACAACCACTGGTAGTTAGGTAAAAAAACGATTATCTAAAATTGTGACTGAAATAACAGATCACATCTTCTGAAACTTGGCCATTACCTCCTCTTTTAAGACCTATTCTTGCTTCAAAAATTATGTGAACCCAGTTTTGAGAGAATTGGAGGGAGGTCCACATTTTTTTGCCCAAATTTTATGTTACAAAAGAGAATCTATTTGACTTTGAATAGCACGATCTTGTGTATGTGGGCCATAAAAAAAATTGAGAATTTGTTATTTTGAATTTTTTCATAGAACCAACCGTTTTCCAGGAAATCGTAACCAACGAAAGGGGTCAGACATCGTTTTTGAACGCAATGCCTGCATACGGAGGTGATCGCATCTCGGAACGCATAGAGACTGTTGTTTCAGAGGCGTACGGTACTGCAATACTTGCACTTGATCCGTAATTATGATCACAATTTCAGATAACCTTTTGTACTTTTACCAAACTCACAGTATCTGTAGCTCGGAGGGAGTGCATTTTCGGCCACATCAATATATGGAGAAAAAGTTTAATCTTGATCCCAAGAATAGAAAATCATGGCCAACTATCACTGTTCTCGAGATATGTCGATTTTTCTAAAAATAATTTCCTATATAGTAGTTTACAAAGATTTATTTCTCGCAGAACGTTCAAAATTAGAGCACCAAGGTTGTGCAACAGTTATATACAGTGTGACCCATTTAAGATGGAAGCACCCTTATAAAACTTACATTTTTCAACCGATTGGAATGATTTTTTTTTGTTAGGTAGATATTCAAAAAGTCTATTAGGACACCAAATATCATGAATAAATCTCCATTTCCAGGGCCAACTAATCTGATTTTTCAAGGTCAAAAATCTAAAAAAATTACTAGCGTTTTTTTTAGAAAAAATCTGACTACACCACTGGATTTGTGACATTTTCAAATGGGTAAAATATAAATTACGTTGAAATGCGTCAATCAATAAAAAAGTTATTAAGGAATGAAATTTGAAAAATATGCCGTTTAATCAACCCATCAATTTTTATTACTGAACAGATTTCGATGAAACTGTGATCAGTAATATTTCAAGACATCCTGAATCCAGTGGAGTATACAGAATTTCCATAAAATTCCTGAACATGAATTGGTGGGTTGATTAAACGGCATATTTTTCAAATTTCATTCCTTTATAACTTTTTTATTGATTGACGCATTTCAACGTAATTCACATTTTACCCATTTGAAAATGTCACAAATCCAGTGGTGTAGTCAGATTTTTTCTAAAAAAATCGCTAGTAATTTTTTTAGATTTTTGACCTTGAAAAATCAGATTAGTTGGCCCTGGAAATGGAGATTTATTCATGATATTTGGTGTCCTAATAGACTTCTTGAATATCTACCTAACAAAAAAAAATCATTCCAATCGGTTGAAAAATGTAAGTTTTATAAGGGTGCTTCCATCTTAAATGGGTCACACTGTATATAACTGTTGCACAACCTTGGTGCTCTAATTTTGAACGTTCTGCGAGGAATAAATCTTTGTAAACTACTATATAGGAAATTATTTTTAGAAAAATCGACATATCTCGAGAACAGTGATAGTTGGCCATGATTTTCTATTCTTGGGATCAAGATTAAACTTTTTCTCCATATATTGATGTGGCCAGATTAGTTGGCCCTGGAAATGGAGATTTATTCATGATATTTGGTGTCCTAATAGACTTCTTGAATATCTACCTAACAAAAAAAAATCATTCCAATCGGTTGAAAAATGTAAGTTTTATAAGGGTGCTTCCATCTTAAATGGGTCACACTGTATATATATATTAGTAATAGAACAGATACGAAGTTTCTAGGTTTACACATTGATAATAAATTGAAGTTTAGTGACCATATTGACAAATTAAGGAAAAAGTTGTCATCGGGCTGTTATGCAGTCAGAACAACATCATGGGAACTTGGTAGAGAAATGGCCAAAAGTGTATACTTTGCTCTCATTGATTCACATTTGAGATATGGAATTTGTTTCTGGGGTTCATGTAGTAAAACTTTGTTTGATGTGATTTTTGTCCTACAAAAAAGAGCCGTGAGATACATGTGTAGAGCTGGATTCAGGGATACTTGCAAGTCATTATTCATAGAGCACAAAATATTACCTCTTCCATGTATTTTTATTCTGGAAACGGTATGTCTCATACACCGAAAATATAAAAACAAAAATCATATTACTACACACTGTAATACAAGACGGGCACATAATTTAAATATACCAATACCTAGCTCTACATTAATAATAAACTCTTTCATTTACAATGGCAGAAAATTGCATAACCATTTGCCTGATGAGGTAAAATGTATCAATAACCCAAAAATGTTTAAAAAATTGGTCAAAAGTCTTCTAATTGAAAAAGCTTGCTACTCCTTAGACGAATTCTTTTCAGAAAAATTCCTAAAATAATTCACATTGCATGCTGATATCCTGTTGTTTTTCGATTTAAAACTTTTAACTATATTCTTTGGTTTCAACAGTTTCTGTAATTTTAATGTGTTTTATATTGTTCACTATATTGTGTTAGTTCTATTTATACAATGTAGGGTTTCATTTTTATACTCTACTTTATTTCTTTATATGTATATATATAAGCATGTTCGACTTTGTCAATGAGAATTTTATTCTTCAGACAATAAAGTATACTTTGATTTGATTTGATTTGATATATCAAATTCCATTCTTAATCCTGGTGGTACACTGGTTTTGCACCAGTTTTGCACCGCCACTACTATATTAGTTCTCTCCAACATCAGACGCGGGAGGAAATGGATAACTTTGTTCCCTTGATATGCTATTTATTCAACCGAATATTACGTGAGCAAATTTCTTTGATAATCAAAAATAGTACTTCGAGTTCCTTGTGAGAAAATATACTTCTACTAACTTCACAAAAATGAATTTGGGAAAAACGAAGAAATCAAGCTCAAGCTACTATCAACTTATTAAGTATTATTTTGTGTAACTGAAGTGAATTCATTGTGGTTTATTTCCTAAAAATGTTATGGATGTGAATTTTATCAAAACTACATACTGCTTCTTCTATATTCTAGAAGTTGATAAGTTACTTATTGTAACAAAATATATTATAAGTCATGGAAACCATTCATCCTTCTTGTGACAAGTTTCGGCTCAACGGCCATCTTCAGTCACATAAAATACCTAAGAACACATGTGGAGATAAGTTTAATTGGAAACTAGATCAAAAACCTGGAAATCAGGCAGGTAATTGAGTATATTGTTCTTTAAATCGACTAAATAGCCAAAAGAACAAATTAATAAAGCAATTCAACATTGGTAAGAGCAGGAATTGAAATCCGAAATTATAAATCAAAATTCACGAAACAAGAGTTTCATCATCACTCGATTTTTTTTCGTCATCTTAAGTATTTTATGTGTCTGAAGATGGCCGTTGAGCCGAAACTAGTCACAAACTTGATATGTTTAAAATATTTTTTTGTGGTCGACCGACTTTGTGTAGTAGTTTTTTCGTTAGAAATATATATTATCGCCAACTTTAGTTGAATGAAGTGAGTCAAGAATAATAGTTTGAACTACCACCTACTGCTTTATTAATATTTTTTGTAACTTCAGTCGGTATTTTGTATTTTATTTAGCGTCATCTTATCCTAGTGTTTTTTTATTAACGTTTCGGTGTGAATTTTTTTACCGAATACCACTGGCTTCAATTTAAACCCAGAAATTTTGAAGCTCTCGTGGTAGGTATATTGAAAGTGAAAATTTGATTTTCATACCAATTAAAATACGGGAAAATGTAAACTGAAATAGAATATTCCTTTTTAGATAGAATTCTTCTTTATTACAATTATATTGTTGTGGCAGTTCAGACATTTTAATGAGCCGTCTAACTGTCAAACTCAATTGAAAAATCAAATGAAGATAGCATGGATAGTGCAACGATTCAAGCAGCAATGATTCTATAATTCACCATAGAATTCAAAAATGCAAAAAAACACGAAGTCAATATGTCACTTCCTTTTCAACCTGAAGTGATTACAGCAGTCCAAAGCACTATTAAAAACTTCAGGTTGATGTATTTTTCAGAGTTCTCTATAAGCCTCCAATAAATCAAGTACGTGAATCATCCTGTATATTCTTACCTCCAACCAAAATCGGCTCGTTCCCAGACACTACCCCGACTGCCATCAAAACCCCAAACATTCTCCCCCACATTTTTCCCGCTCTCACCCCCATATCTTTTCAGCGACCTAGTGACTTTGCGCACTCCGCGAATTGGTTTCAGAGTCACGGCCAACTCTTCTTATAGAGCGGAGGACTTTGCTGCCGTCCCCCCCACAATCGCGAAAAAACAACAAACACTCTAGAGTTGGTTGAGACATCGGCCGAATGTCCTTGTAAGGATTTTTCGTCGCATAACCCTTTCTCCCACCCCACCGGGAAAGAATTATCAGTCATTCTCATTCATTTCGTTTTTTCACTATTTCAATCATCTTGAAATTCCCGCATCTTACCAATCGATTGAAACAAATGAGAATTATTCATTTCACTTGATTTTTTGGGATTTTTTCTCCTCGTTTCTATAGAATTAAAATATTCTCATTATTTCAATATATTTGTAGTGGGACAAATCAGATGATTTTCCCCAAAATGTCACTGCGTTTAACAAATTTTCCTATCAGGGAGCCTAAAAGAAAAATCCAGTAGCTTGTCAGTGACACTTTGTTTGAAAAAATGTTTGAAGGAAAGAAATATATAATAACATGAAAGTGGTGGATTCAAGATCCTGTAGCTCATTTGTAGACTAAAATCACTCATTCATATGCCAACATCAGTATATGACACTGAGAAGTGTCAAATTATAAGCAGAGCACAACTTCCAAAGAAAAATATTTTGCATTCTCATGTTGGGAACGGGAGCAGATTCGTTCCCGAAACGTCCAAAGATAAGTAAAAATTCGATATTTTCCAATATATCTATATTTCTTTTTCTTCAAAAATGCACGAGCCAACATATTTTTCAATACAGACAAGAATTTTTTTCAGCAACATATGAAGGTACTGCTGTGGGTAATTGTTTATCACCTTTCTTGGTTGAACTGTTCATGAATCGGTTTGAAACGAATGCAAAAGAAAAATTTGAGTATTTCCTATAGGATTTGGATTAGGTATGTCGACGATATTTTTGCTATTTTTGATACGAAAATCACAGATATATATAGATAACTCCATTTCACAATTGAATAATTCCATGACCTTCATCAAATTCACTTTTGAATGCGAAAATAACGGTCAATTACGTAGGTATAACATTCATAGATTTTCTTGTGCTCAAAAATGGCAAAAACGGCTTAGACTTTGATGTTTTTAGAAAATAAACTAACTTAGATACATAATGATATAATATGGAATGATAATCTTGCTAACATATCTTTAAACTGTGCTATCGATAAATTTTACGAAGTTCTGAGGAAATGCATACAGGATTTTGTTCCGAAAGTGGTTACTAAAAACAGGAAATTTCCAATTCATTTTTCAAATACAACCTTTGATTGCGTCAGAGAAAAGGTTAAAATACATAAAGAATGGAAACGTTTCTTGAATTACAATGATTAAATTGAGTTTAGAATGTTGAGACAACGTAGTAAACGACTAATTTCGCAAGATTATCAAAACTACCTTACTCAAAGTTTTGGCAATTTGCGTCGAATAGTACAAGCATAATCATTTGAGTATTCACACTAGTGTATAATCAAGGGCATAATATAGGCATACCTTCCTCTGTCGTTTTTGAGAGTGAGGAAGCGTCAGGTGTGGTTCTGATATCACATATTTTCGAAATATTTCAAAAGCGTTTATGAACCTTTTAAACAATCCCGTTTATCATATAATAATACTCCCAACTCTACATTATTGGATAAAGTAAAACTCACTGAGGAAATAGTTTTCAACGAATTGAACTCCATAGACGATATTAATAAGGGATGTAGTTTTGACAATATTCCAGCTTAATTTGTAAAACAATGCTCCTATAGTCTTCGTACTATAGTATAAATCTATATCTGAAGGTGAATTCCCATCAGAATAGAAAACTGCGCTTCTTGTGCCAATATACAAGAAATCTGGAGACAAAAGAGATAGAGAACCAATCTTATGATTTATAATCAGTTTATATCAGATTCACTCGATAATCATATTCAAACTGCCCCTAATAACACAATTATGTCCCATGGATATCCTTAGGACGTCCTGTCGAGACCTTCAGGACGTCCATAGGACGTTCGAATTTGGTACCGTGGACGTCCATTGGACGTCTGTGGGACGCACAAATGTCCAAGTTGAGGATCAACTAGGGACGTCCTTGAGGGATGTCCCTGGGACAACAATCGAAAACCTAAATCCTACAGTATTCCTCATCAAGCACTACGGAGGACATCCTTAGGACATCCGTACGACAACCTATCTGCAACGCTGAGGGATATCAATTGGATGTCCATAGGATGTCCCCAGGAACGTACGAATTATTCTTGAATTTGAATTTTTCTGGGGCCCTCTAGGACCAGATCTTGCATAACTGATGAGGACATTCAGTTGAGTTGATGGTCCGTAGAATAAGGTCCCCAATATATCCTGAAAAAGTTTCCCAAGGATGTCCAATGGACTCGCACGTGAAGGACATTGACGGAGGGAGTATTTATAGTCTACGAGCAATCATTCGTCGGCGAGGTGTATAAGTTAACGTCCTCGCAGAGACAACATATCGAAAGATTAGCGTCTGCGGACAGCCGCAAGTAATAACTCCGTGGTGGGAGAACGTTATAGTGGGCAGTAGATGCGACTGGCGTTATGCGGCGCCGACTGAATGACTTCATCATACTTCGTCTCGTAAGCAACTGGTTGGCTCAGTAAGCAGAGCATCGGCATGAAAAGCCGGCGGGCCGGGTTTCGAATCCGTGCGAGGCTCATCTTTTTTTTATTTTTTTCTTGTTCTCAAGTGATTTCTAAAAAATATTCTCTATGGGAAATAGGTTCATTTAGGGGTTTTCTATGTTTAGGCCAGAGGTGAGGTTCGGTGGTTCGGTTAGGTTAGGTTAGAATAGAATAGAATATTTTATTTGGTGTTAATAAACATTAAGTTTTACACAGGTCAACGAAACAAGTACAGATATACTCATAAAATAGATAGGTTAGGTTTTCTCATTTTTTATGCAGGAACAATATTTTCCTCCCTCAAGAAAAATTCTCCTTCTAGAATATTTTATTTGGTGTTAATAAACATCAAGTTTTACACAGGTCAACGAAACAAGTACAGATATACTCATAAAATAGATATATAGGTTAGGTTTTCTCATTTTTTATGCAGAAACAATATTTTCCTTCCTCAAGAAAAATTCTCCTTCTTCAAGAAAAAAGGTTCATCTAGGTCGATTGATTGTTGAAAAAAAATTCCTTCCTTATATTAGACTCGACACAGGTTAACTAACGTTCCCCTACCACGGAGTTATTACTTGCGCCTGTCCGCAGACGCTAGTTATCGAAAGTACCGACTGGGACATCCGTAGAACGTTTTTTATATTTCTAGGATATCCCTATAAGGCACGTTCGAAGGATGTCCCTAAGGGACGACATATTTAGATTTTTTATACGAACCTATATTCTTTGGAAATATACTACGTCTGTGCAGAAATATTTCAAGGAATGTACCATCCAGGGACAGTTTCATTTCATACCTGCATCAGCTATCACTCCATTAATTTCAAATATAACTATTGCGAAAAGGGTACACAGTATCGAGTTTTATCAATAAGGGTACCTTATTGATGATGTTGAATTCAATGATTTTCAATTCCACATCAAATTTGGATTGATAAATCTAACCTGAAAAAAGTTACGTTTAAAACCATTTGGTACCAACCGTTGACAAACCATGTAACTGGCGCCCTCTATGAGAGTCCGATATAAAAGAGAAGAGGGTTACTTCAGCCAATTTGACTTCAGCTACAATGTACGCACAATGTACGCTGGTTACTTTACCTTGAGATGCTTCTTTACCTATATCAATATTGTACTCATATTATCTACTCATATATCTACTCTACAATTCCTACCTACCTTACAATGTTTTACGTTTTACCCACCTCTATATTAGCAAGAATAAAATAGGTCTTTTAGTCTTTATTGTATTTGAAAAGGAGTGTTCCCACCGAGAAAATCCCGTTATCCGTTATCCTCTATTATTCCACAATTTTCCCTTTATTTTGAAAACTTTCAACAACATGATCTTTCCGAACGCTGCCGACCTGGGCCGATTGAATCTCTTCTTTCCTACTCGACCTCACGCACCGCGCAACCAGCGTTGCCAGTGTGTGAGAAATTCCTTACATTGTGAGGATTTATCATACATGACTTGTGGGTTCGCTCGAATGTGAGAATTTTGTGAGGATTGCTGTCAATCTATATAATTCCGTTATAACACTTCATGTCTAGTCTACATTGTTATAATTTCAATTTCTCATTGTTATTTTCGAAAAGCAGTGACATTATTATAATGCTTAAAAAGAAAAAATAGTATTTATATTATACAGGGTGTTTCAGAGTTTTGGTCACAAAAGCCTAGCGAGGATTTCTCCCAACAAAATATGAAAAAAAGTCTATGCATGAAGATGGGTCCGAAAATGCCTCGTTTCCGTGTTTTCCGTGTTTTCCATCAATATCTTAGAAACACTTTAGCCGATTCTAATGATTCATGGTTTATTAACACAGTTTTTCAGACATTTATTGAACCAATTAGACTTGATCCAGAATTTTTAGATGCGTACCCATCGAGCAAGTCGTTTTTTTTTTAGTTCTTCCTAAACATTCAGATGATGATGAATAATAACCTACTAGAAATAATACATTTTTGTCTCTTGAAATTTTCTCGGCACACATATCTGAACTCCATCAGGAAATAAAATAAAAATGCAACGGTGTTAATTTTCATAATCCGAGATTAAATTGTCGAAAAGTACGCATCCAAAAAAGTTTGAGCAATACTTAATGTAGTCCCACTCCTGAATGAAACGTTGGAATGAATTTATTTTCACTGCATCATCGGGCATGGAAAGTTTAGTTCTTGTACGAGATGGCATCATTTTATCACATGGCGTTTCGGAAATATTAAGGAAATATCATCTTCAGGAGCTTCTATCGAATTCGGTTCGGTTGAATGATTTTACCACAAATGAAAAAGTTTGAGTGATGAAAATAAAAAATTATCAGATGAGGGACGACTTGTACTTGGGAGGATTGTTTTTTTCACCAATTTGATACACTAGAAAATGTCACTAGTCAAATTAATTCTAATTGAACATTATTTTTATTAAGTTGTACGATGATCAAAATAGTTACGTTTGTTTTCTCAGAGAATTGATAATTGATTTTATTGGTACTTTGAGATGGGTCGAACTAAACAAGATGGGCGGACACTGCTAAAGTCATATTAAATTTGACAATTCAATGCAAACAAGGGTTTATCGAGGATCATGCAGTTTTATCAGTATAATAATACCGAAAGATTGGCTAGAATGACGCATTGCTATTGGTTGAAATAACGAAAATGTCACATTTTGACATGTGAAAAAAATAATCGTCTACAAATATCATGAATAGAAATTTCTTTCAGATCCATTATTGGGGACAATCAATATCAATTGAACCAATCAATATTTTTCGATTAATTTTTTTTTATGTTCTGGTTCCCATGATAAGGGATATCCTGTAATGTTCAGAGAATATCGTGAGAACCAAGGGAAATAAGGTAGGAATTGGTGATCTTCTTAAATTTCTGGAGGCTACATAAAAAATAAATATAAACAATAATTGTCATCATCAACTCAACGTCCTGAGATATGCTAAAAATCATGTGATAATGGAGAAAAAAATCTAATTGTCACCTTTCTTGTAATTTTAATATTGTGAGGTTTCCCAAATCAGATCGCGAGACATGTGCAGCAGCTCAATGTAAGGAAATTTCACATTTCACTTTGGCAACGCTGCGCCGCACACCAGCAGCGGCAGCCCGCAGCCGCAGCGCAGTTCGCCATTGAGCAGCCATTTTGATGTGTAGGGAGTGCTCACCACCTAAAATTAGTGCTCTAAATAAGTTTTCAACGCCGAAAAATTGGCAAAATTAAAAGTTAGTGCTACTTATGGCTTGTTTAAATAATCTGAAACAGGAAATACGGACATTAGAGTCGATATTCTCGAAAAACCATGAAAGGTTTCAGATCATCTCGGCCAGTGTTGATGAATTGAGTTGTAGGTTTATAGGAAAGAACGGTAAAAAATACACCATCCATGCGAATATCACGGTAAGCAACATTTGTAAGGACCTCGTTTACCTTCAACTTTCTTATAGAACTTTCTTCGTCTCCAAAGTGCTTGAAAACGTTAATAACAAAGGGATTCGGGCTTTGGTACATTATTTATTCTTTTTTTGACATTTAACATATGTATTTGATGGATCCATGAGATGATTGTTGTTTTGTAATTGTCAAACGTTGTCAAAGCTGATAATGTTGACAATTATATCAATTATTTGTTGTGGAAAAATTGCATGCTTATTTGAATGTATAGGTATGCTAATCTGGATGCTAATATAGCATAAATATTGATTAATGCATTGCCCAGAGGCCTTGAATATTGAAAATATATTTAATTTTTAAATAGTATTATCGAACCAAGTATATTCATTCATATTCATAATTACTATCCTATTCTTCAAAAACTGTACTGTGCCTGCACAGAGTTAATTGCTCAGAACTTCACAGGATCATAAATCTTGAGAAATTTGATAATACTGGAAGCTATTAGGGAATCATTTAGGGAATCATATTCTGGATGTATACAATCTCTATATTGATTTGTCTTGTAACCACAAAAACCAAATGAGGAAACCCTTTATCTGTTCATAGATGGAAAATCCCTTATCTATTGTTCTTATCTGGGTTCTCATTGAACATATTATTGGATACCTACCATCTGATTGAGACCATCAATTTAAAATGTAATGGAGTCTTTTGGGTGACAAATTTCCTAGAATTTCATAGTACCTATTTTTTGAGATCTTTTATTCCTTTAAATGGCACAAAATTTAATTTCCATCAGACTTAATCAGCAGGTTTATCATGTACAACTAGTTTTTCTGTGAATTAATAGCTAATTTAGTTATTTTTTCATTGATTATATTCAAGATTTATTTCATGATTTTCAACAGGAAACCTATCCTGCTGTGCCACCAGTTTGGTTTGCAGATTCAGATGAGACTAGTATAACAAATGCTGTTCAAATTTTAAGTAATACTGAAGGTGTGGAGAATCATGTCCTTCACCAAGTGATAATTCTTCTCAGAGAACTGTGTCGTCTCCATGCTGTACCAGAACCTCCAGATTTAGATAGGATGCAAATTTTAGACCCACAAACAACAAATCGGTAAGTTTTTGAGTCTTTTCTCAACACAGTATCTGCCAATAAGATTCCATATATAGAAAGTTTGTTATTAAAATAACAAAAAAAATCTTGATTTAATCAATTTTACATATACGGTACCTAATGGCAGCAAGGATCCTCCAAGAGTTAAAATAAAAATCATCTTGCTATTTGCTTGGGTCTCCCTTTTTTATCATACAGGAAGATGAAAAGAATGGAATTTGAAAAAGGTGTTTATAATCCAATTTTAGGCCTTTGGCTTGGCCTTTGGTTAAAGGATGTTTCAAGAATGTATTACAAACTTATAAACAGTATTATTTCAATATAAAATCACAAATATCTTTTTTTGCATTGTTTGACTAAACAATGTGCTTCATACACAATGCAAATACCTTTAATCTCTTTTATAATTGACAACTTTTCATTTTCATTGAAGAAATGATCATCCAGAAAATCCACTAATTTTCAACCCATCAGCTGATGGAGCAATTGGTATCAAGATTGCCATGGATATAAAGAAACTAAAAATTGAATCTTCTCTTGAATGCCTTGTGCAACCCACCCTCATTGATTGGTATCACAGAAAAGTTAATTTCATGATTTTAATAATGAACCATTTTCTCATATTATCTTATGTTATGGTATTGACACTGATTACTTTGTCTCCCTAATTTTAGTAATTTTCAAATATTTACACAGTTCAATTCTGAGCACAAAGATAACTGAAAGTGATGGTCAACCCAAAAAATGCAATATGGAAGAAGAATTAAAAAAATAATATTTCACCTCCTTCATCAGCCTACAAACTTGGTTGAATTATTAACATTCTCACTATGTGCCTGAGTACAATTCTGGATAATTTAGATTTTTTTCATGTATGGTTTTGTCTTCTACCAATTGTATTTCATCCAAATTGAAATATTTTTGTGTATGAACTCCCTGTAAAATATCTTGGACCTGATTTGTCATGTTAATCTATCAAACACTTCCTTGAATTTGTTTTGAAGAAACAGTTATCCATTGTATTGTATTATGGAAATAACTGATAGTAAATCAGAAATGTATTATTTTTTATCAGTAGTCATGTACTGAATATTTTCTCTGTTGATAGCATTGCTATAAAGGCTGATAATATAACAAATCAAACTTTGCAATAATGGCATTATCATTGAGTTTTATGATACCATTATAGTGTGGTACAAATTCCTTCATATGTTTGTTGAATAAGTTTTCATGGATTGAAATTTTGATAGGCATATTTTAATAGTAGTTCTAATTTCAATAACCCTCAAAGTCAAAATTATCATTTGGTGAGTACACTCAGTCGAATTTATGCCATATATCAATTTTATTTTATTTCCAATAATCAAAATAATCACCTCTCAAAAACATTAGCTCTCGATGATGTGACTCACAGATAAGCACTAGTAGTGTTTTATTGCTCAACAACCGATGAAAATATCCGAGGGGTAAACCGCGGTGAAATTCTGGTGTACAAACAACTGGAATTCCTTGGATTTTCTTGGAATTCCTTGGATTTCCTTGAATTTTCTTGGAATTCCTTGGATTTCCTTGGAATTCCTTGGATTTCCTTGGAATTCCTAGGATTTCCTTGGAATTCCTTGGATTTCCTTGGAATTCCTTGGATTTTCTTGGATTTCCTTGGATTTCCTTGGAATTCCTTGGAGTTCCTAGGATTTCCTTGGAATTCCTTGGATTTCCTTGGAATTCCTTGGATTTTCTTGGAATTCCTTGGATTTCCTTGGAATTCTTTGGAATTCTTTGAGTGAAGTGTGGTACAATTCTGGTGTACAAACAACTGGAATTCCTTATAATTCCTTGGATTTCCTTGAATTTCCTTAGAATTCTTCGGATTTCCGTGGAATTCTATGGAATTCCTTGGGTGAAATGCGGTATATCCCTGGGGTACAAACAAGTGGAATTCCTTGGAGTTTCTTGGATTTTCTTGGAATTCCTTGGATCTCCTTGGATTTCCTTGGAATTCTTTGAGTGAAGTGTGGTACAATTCTGGTGTACGGGTATCCCAATTTGGGCACTTTTGCGGGGTATCTCCCTTATCAGTAAAGATAGAGCATTGCGGTTTTCGCGACAGTGTGCTACTTTTTTATGAAATTAATAATGGCGCAAGCAGAATTGTGATAGCTCTTCCGGTTGTCGAGATACAGGGTGGAATTGAAAAATATCACTTTTCAGACACCCTCCGTGTCTCAGTTATCTTTGAACTTATCGAAGAAGTTAAAACTTGTTTTTATAGAGTTTTTCTCGTAGAATCCAGTGGCGTAGTTATTTTTTGCTAGCACCTTTTGTTTTTTAGTTATGGAGCAAACATATGCTTTTTTAAATGGAAAATAATTGTATAAAATTATATATTCTTGGAAAGCCCACTTCATGCTCAATGTATATATGAAATAATATGCAGGGTGTTCCATTTAAAAAAACATATGTTTGCTCCATAACTAAAAAACAAAAGGTGCTAGCAAAAAAATAACTACGCCACTGGATTCTACGAGAAAAACTCTATAAAAACAAGTTTTAACTTCTTCGATAAGTTCAAAAATAACTGAGACACGGAGGGTGCCTGAAAAGTGATATTTTTCAATTCCACCCTGTATCTCGACAACCGGAAGAGCTATCACAATTCTGCTTGCGCCATTATTAATTTCATAAAAAACTAGCACACTGTCGCGAAAACCGCAATGCTCTATCTCTACTGATAAGGGAGATACCCCGCAAAAGTGCCCAAATTGGGATACCCTGTACAAACAACTGGAATTCCTTGGAATTCCTTGGATTTCCTTGGAATTCCTTGAATTTCCTTTGAATTCCTTGGATTTCCTTGGAATTCCATGAAATTCCTCGGATTTCCTTGGAATTCCTTGTGAAATTGAAGTTTGGTGTACAGGGTGATTCACCATAAATGTCCCCTCCCCTCTAGATCAATTATTTTTGAATCGATAGCAAAATTTTAAATAATTATCATCTAAAATGATTCTCGATAGAATTTTTTTCCGCTACATCAGAAAATACATTGTGCTCGGAACAAACGATCTACAGGGTACTATTTGATTTATTTAAATGGAATACACTATTTTTCATTGTATTTTGAGATTCTCCCTGAAGAGTTGATTTCATCAATGTATCACACTTGGGGTGTACCGAAAATGCTTACAGAGATATAGGGTGTTCAAAATCGAGATTTTTCAACTTTAGGATTTTTCTGTGACGAAACAATTCATTATTGGTAAAAACGGCTTTCATGTCCGTATCTTAACTTTTGATTTATTATCTACTGACATTCAATGATTGGAACAGATACAGGGTGATCAAAATTCTGAATCTTGAACCAACTCTATATGTTTCAATTAAATGTCAGTAGATAGTAAATCAAAAGTTGAGATAGGGACAGCTGTTTGACCAATAATGAATAGTTTCGACACAAAAAAATACTGAAGTTGAAAAAGATTTTGAACACCCTATATCTCTGTAATCATCCTCGTTAGACCCCCAGTGTGATGCATTGATGAAATCAGCTCTTCAGGGAGAGTCTGAAAATACAATGAAATATAGGGTGTTCCATTTGTAAAAATCAAGTAGTACTCTGTAGATCGTTTGTTCCGAGTACCCTGTATTTTCTGATGCAACGGGAAAACATTTCTGAAAAATCATTTTAGATGATTTTTCAAATTTTTGAATCGGTTGAAAAATAAGTGAGCTAGAGGAAGGGACATTTATGGTGAATCACCCTGTACACAATTTTGACCGCGGTTTACCCCTCGAATATCCAAATGATAAATGAAATTCATTTGATCAATGTTATGTAAATATTTTCAAAACCGAAGAAATGTATCAAACTCATGAGAAAAATAAACCGAAACAATTCATTTTCATCCACTTGGCGTACAATGTGAACTCAATGATCTCAAAACCCATTCAGTACTAGATTTCATCAAAAAGTATTTTGGTACTGAACATCTTTGAATAGTACTAAAGTACTGACCGGAACAGCCCTTCTACGGTGTTCCGGTGATGTCAAAGTGTTTGAGAGTGTGGCATCACCCACCAGGCCAATGGCTCTTTTCTGGATGGAATCTAAATGCATCAGAAGTATGTTTGGGTGCTGAACCCCATATGTGGGAACAGTACAAATGATCATAGCATCGTAGTGGCCATTGAAGTAGTGCCTGTCCTTTTAAGTTATTTTTCTAGAATTTTTCGGTTAGTTTTAAGGTGCTTAAATCATCAAAAAGGGTACGGTAATTTTCAAACGGCTAGAAATTTACCGCCAGTGAAAACTGACGTCATGATTTCGTAAGTAGGGGCAGACCATAACCCAGTTGCCATATGTTGAAATACGATTGGGAACTTCAGTAATATTAGTTATTCATAAATTCTCATTTATGTATTAGTAATATTCCCAATGGGCAATAAAAATACAATTGTCTCAAAATGTTCCCTCATGTATTGCGGCTCATTGCTTATAATACATTTGTGTAAATAATAATTATATCAATTCACACTAGAGAACATTTGAAGCGATAAACGAGACAACACGGCGCACGAATTGTGGGCGTTGTCTTGTCAGTTCTCAGCATTCAGCACAATGTTGCCAAGTTTCCAAAATTTACATGATAATTTGTTATGGGTATATGAGTATAAGAAATATTTGAGCATTCTGATTGCCTCGAAATAGTCAAGAATGAACTGTAATTTCATCCCCCTATTATGTTTTATTCAACAACAGCACTGTTACATCTTGTTGATAACTTGAGTATAATTGGTGACTTGGCAACTTTGCTTCATGATTGGGAATGGAAGATTATCGGACCAATAACGAAACAGCATAAAAACGTCACCATTTATTCGACTTATCACCAATTGGCGGCCGTGACGGTATATTTGAAATGAGCTCTGAAATTCAACTACTTCGAACAAGGCATAGGCTCATTATTTACATGAAAAAAAAAGGGTGAGAACTGTTGCAAAAATCAATTTAGGCCACTCGCCCATTGCCATTGATCGCGGAATATTCCGTCACACGCTGTCCTGCGTTTTTCATGTTATGGAAACATGAATTTCAATAAATAGTTAAAAAATTAACAGAGCTCTGAGGAAAAAACTGCTTGCGACAGTGAACACGTTTGGGTTAGTATTTCAAAATAATGAAATGAAATGTTTCTCTGATACAGGCCCAATACCTATGTGTTACCTAACATAATCATGAATCTATGTTTCATTTCCATTAGAAATTTTGAATCCACAAATTAATTGACACCATCTTTGAAATGTTTCTATTTGATAGGTGCTTCTACAAAAGAATCCCATTTCAATGGAGGATAATATGATTATAAATTTAGAAAAAATACATATTTATAGATGGGGAATAAATAGTTCTGCTCTGAAATATTTGTGTGCAGGGTTTGCATGCTCAAAATGGACAGTTTTGTCCAATTTGTCCGACCCTGACAACTTCATTTTGTTGTAAATAAAGTGGACAAAACTGACAACTATTATTCCATACCGAAAAAAAATCTTAAAATACCTAAAACAAAACGTGATAGCATAGCTTTGAAACGAAGAACAGATCATTTCATTATCATATCATATAAGGTGATGTTGAAATAGCTACAAATATTCAGTGTGTTCCCCGAGTGGATTGAACGAATCAAAAATATTGTTTTTTTTTTTTCAAAATGTACTACTCAAAAAGACTTAACGGGTGGTCTATAAATTGGATCTTTGGTTTTTGTCACTCAAAGAACCACCACCAAGAAAGGTCTGGCACTAGAAATCAGTTAAATGGGATGATGTCCGCTTCAACAACACTGATCCTTCCATTTATGCAGAAGCCATCTAAACAGTAATTATACTCAAGATGGACACCTTTATTCCTTACTCTGTTGGAATCCGAGAATCGAAAATTGAGCTATACAGGGTGATCTATATAAGAATGTGAAAAATGAATCGGTGGTTTGTCAAATGAAGATCAAATAATTTTGAATTTGAATGAAATAAAATATATTGAATTAAAATATCCTACTTCTGGTAACCATCTGCCGCATTCCCTTCCCTTTCAGCATACTTGGTACTGACAGCTAAGCTGGTGGGGATAAAAGTTACTCTTTGGTTCTATTCATTTTCAAAAAGATCAAAAATACCTATTTTTTATTTCTGCGGATCACAATACAGCAGAACAAATATTTGTGCGAGTGTTGAACCCTCACACTCAATGCAATGTTTTAAGCGGCGAACACATTCTCCTTTTCATCGATCACCTGGTTGACGTGTCAACGAAATCTCTGTACCATAAGTCAGTCATCAGTATCACAATATTCCTGCAAAGTGAAAACCCAAATCGACTCCCAATAAACACGAAATATAAAATGCGGTTAATCGCCTATCATTACACACTGGACTAACACGTGATAGTTGGCTGACTCACGTTGCAATTGAATCCCGAGATCGTTCAGTAGAGTTTCATCACCATATTTTTCGAACATATGAGGGTCGTGGAACATTTGCAATGATATCAATGATGAGGTAAAGGAAGCCCAAAACTGCAGAATTAGGTAGGAGAATGTTGGTAGACTGTCTCAACGACCTGTAGCCAAAGTCGTTGGGAAAAATTTCACAACCTCCTCATTTCCCCCATTGACGGAGGACGATGGTTCATCTATGTTCATCTTTTGTTGATACGAAAGAAAAACGTGATATTTTTTCTGCCACGTTTTCGTGCCGTTTTCTATCGATTCTCCTACCTCCTGATAAAAGTCATATTCCCGTCACGCATAGTCAGATCATACTCAAAAACTTGACACTACATAAGGCGGCTGGCCCGGACAATATTATTATTGTTATTGGTCCAACATTTTGCGTGAAATTCCGAAAAAAAATACAGGCTGACTGAAAAAAAAACGCCCCAAGACGTAACACCGCTATTAACTATAAGATTTTGTTGAACAATAATCGTTTGAAAAGCTCAATATGCTCTAAAAATCATAAAGATCACGTAATCTGACGTCACTTATTTGATTTTTACGATCCAGTAGGAGCATTAATCTCTCCCTCAATTCAAAAAAACAGAAAGCTTGATTTACTTCTCAACACAAACGAACACAAAGCAGTAGCACAAATCATTTCTGAACATAGCCTAATCTGAGTAATTTTAAAATTTGTTTTGATTTGGTTTCGATTGGAGGTTTTGATCGTTGATGTTGATCGAGGGAAAAGAATAAGTGATTAAAATAATAAAATCGTTGGCATTTTTCGAGGATGATGTCCGAATTCGCGTCTATTACCTCGGCAATGTTAACAATTCTGCTCTTTTTTGCCATATTTATACATTATTATTGCATTTAAACGCCATTTTCTTTGTTTTCATTTGTCATCCATCTTGATCAATCTGATTTTAATTTTCTGTTCCCTGAAAATTCGCCGAGCAAATGAATCCTGCTTCAAGTGATGTGTGGCAACTTGCTCCAGTCCAGTCGCGTTGAGGATAGTGTCTAGAGATCTAGACATGGCCACGTCCAAATTAGTATACCATGCTCTGTTCGAGTCACACATGAGATATGGAATACCTTTCTAGGGCATTTGCAGTGAACAGAATTTCAAATTGATCTTCATCCTCCAGAAGCGGGCTATTCGTTATCTCTACAAAGTGGCACCTAGAGTATCATGCAAACCTCTGTTCTCAGAGAACAAAATCCTAACACTTCCGTGCCTCTTCATTCTCGAAACAGTATGTTTAGTTCACAACAATATGCAACAATAAATCGTCATTTGAGGCGGTTGTAAGTTCTACTCGCCAAAATAACACTTTAAGACTCTCCAGTATTCTAGAATATCTAGCTAAAGATTGAAATAGTTCAAGTTGATTTTTTTATGACATGATAGCTCCTGACGGTATACTCTTATTCATTTAGGTTTATGTTATCAATTTAGTACATACACTTTTAATCCGTATTGATACTGTCTTTTTCATTTCTTTTATTATTATTTTTTTATTAGTATGAGTATGATTGTAGCATCACTTTCTTGCTAAAGACACAGTGATATTAGGTATATCTCAATCATTATGTATGTATGTATGACTTTGTCAATGAGAATTTTTTTTTCTTCAGACAATAAGGTATATTTTGATTGTTTGATTTGAACACTCAATCATCAATTGCTCGGAACAAACGAACATCAAATATTGCTTACATCACAAGCAGGGTGAGCATGACAAACGAATTGGCCTAAGCAATCACTCATCAGATACTATCAGGACCGGCGGGCAACCGGGCAAATTCCTGGTGGGCCTTGTCAAACCGGAGCTGTGGGCCGCGGTAAAGAATTTCGCCAGGCAATGATTCGATACGAATGTCGTTTCCAACAGCTTTAAATTTATTCATACCATTTATAGTTTGTCTGTCGAGGATTTCGAAAAAAGAGACGTTATTACCTAGATAACACCAACCATCGGCCCAACATTACTTTTCCGCCTTCCAGGGACCCTATTCTCAAATGGTGAGATATTTTGTCGTATGCGAGATTTCTACATTGTCGAATGAAAAACGTGAGTGCTCATTCTCGAAGGACGCATTGGAAAATTTTCGATAGACAAATTGTAGAGTGGTCTAAAGCAGTCGACATTTTCATGTCGAATGCGAGATTGAATATCTGACTGATTTCTTCACTTGTTATTTCAAGAATGGTAGCTTTATTAATAGAAATTGAAAATTTGAAGTCAAGAAAATCAAACGGCCACGAGAGAACGTATATAATAATGCGTTCAGATTTTTATCGGACATAAAATGTATAAAAATATTTGGGTGAGGAATTAGTGAGAGTCCATTGCACTGAACTGCTAGAACCATTTGTGGTACAGGGACATGGGTCTTCTGCATTTTTTTGGTAAATAAAAGTGGCTCATTTCATTTTCCTTTCATCAAGTTGAGTGTCATCTTTTGACATGAAGCACAATAACTTTTTTCTTTCCACTGCCATTATTAATTCAACATAACATTGACATAACCTCCATCATAACAACAAAGAAACCACAACACATTGGCACAGAACCCATTCGAGAATCGTTAGTTCGATGTTGCTAGTTCTTGCTATTTGACAAAATTCGTCTCATGCGAGTTTGAAGTCGAAAGCAATCGAGGATACCTCATTTGATCGTTGTGCGACAATTTCTATCGACATATGTCGACATATTTTGTTCGACATTCGAGAATAGGCGAGAATAGAGTACTCAGACTGATGATGACCATAATAATGGTCGAAACGTCTCAATAAAAAGTAATTAAGCAGAATTTACTGCACATTTCACCAGTAAACTTGTGGAGACGACTCTCTTAGATAACCATTGTTTCGTGTCACAACCTCAATATCATCCTCGCCTAACTCGCTACTGTTGATTCCCGCGTAGAATAAGCAGAGGCGTCGTGGTGGGAGGCGGCGTCGGCGGCAGCGTGGCCGCCCTGCAGCAGCAGGAGGAGGAGGCGATGATGGAGGACGAGGGCCTCGACAGCGACAACGACGTCGTCGACAGCGAGGAGGAGGAGGATGAGGACGACGACAGCGACGCCGACGAGGACCTCGCCATGGAGATGGAGGACAACAGGCCGAAGGCGGACGAAATGGGCGTCGAGCATCTGGCGACGTTGGAGAGGTTGAGACAGAACCAGCGGCAGGACTATCTCAAGGTGAGAGAAAGAGGCTGGAAGATCTAACCCCTGATTTATAGATTCAAAAATGTAACGAAACACAGTTACACACAATTGACGTATACTTTTTACTTTTACCCGCGGCTTCGCTGACGTTTTGGAATAAATATCAAAGATCGACTATAGCTTCAATTGTTTGGAATTTTTCTATATCCAATGTTATTTTGTTCTGTCACTTATAAGAATATTTTTGTATACTATTGTTAGGAAACACTAATTTATATCGAACTTATAACTACTATTTATGTAAAACGATTTATATCACGCGGTATATGACTGTCTCTCTGACACTCGCTGCTTGGCTGATTGACTGCAGTTGTTCGGCCGTCCTTATATATAAGATCCCTTGGTAGGCTTTGCTTCTCGAATGATCTTCCGTACCCTTCCTTTTGTTCTAGAAACTCATTAAGGCTCGTACGAGAATTGTTGAGCTCTAAACTATATGAACCAAACGTTGGTAGAAGTCCATTGTAGCCCAAAGTGGAGTGATAGGGTTCATATTCAATGAGAAAAGCACGAAGTTATGTGAAACAGTTTCACCAATGGGATACAAAACATGTACTCAGTGCGAGCCAGTTTTACCAATGGACTTCCCTAAAAATATTTATGAGATTCTGTCAAACAGTCTGAGCTTTTTCCGTTCGATCCAGGGCTCCGTATCCGGCTCCGTCCAGGCCACCGACCGGCTGATGAAGGAGCTGCGCGACATCTATCGCTCCGACTCGTTCAAGAACAAGATGTACCAGATTGAGCTGGTCAACGACTCGCTCTACGAGTGGAACGTGCGACTGATGTGCGTCGATCCCGACAGCCCGCTCAGCCACGACCTGCAGGCGCTCAAAGAGAAAGAGGGCAAAGACGCCATCCTGCTCAACATGCTGTTCAAGGACACTTATCCGTTCGAGCCGCCATTTGTGCGCGTCGTGCATCCCGTCATATCCGGTAAGTCTGTTGTTCAAGAACGTATCTCGTCATTATTTTCTTCCACCACGGTGGTGATACTAGAATGGTCGATGGTTGACTCGACTCCCATCAAAATCAAGACAATGCCAGAGGACGAACGGGGAAATATGGAGACTGTATAGTACCATCCTGCCAGCGATGCTTCGTATAGTGCATGACTTCGAGTGACTTCGGGAATTGGAAGGATTCTGCCGCCTGGTTTGTGATGAGAACTCGACCTCCCTGCTGATTGATCGACTGATGACCCCCATTAGCTCAATTGGCAGAGCGTTGGGCATGTAACCCAGAGGTTGTGAGTTCGACTCTCACACGGGGCGGTAGAGTTTTTTCGTTTTCCGTTGTCACTCGACATTAGGGCTTTCCATCTTCATCATTATATATCTTTTCCGTCGACCTCATATTAACGAGTAAGTTCAATGTTCATGAAATTGTTCATTAATGACCCCTATTAATGATCAATTTGTCTATGTTTTATAGGCAACCAAACATACACCGCGTGCATTCATTGTTTTTGCTATAACTTACGGAATCTGCATTTAAATCGAAAATATGGATTTCATCAAAGATTTTCCGTTAACGTGTTTGCCTTTCCAAGTTCCTGACACGATTTTAACCCCTGTTTTCTAACACAAGGAATTTTTTTTCTGTGTTGATCATTTCAACAAATGTCAAATGTCACTAATGTCAGTAACAAGGCTACTGGGTGATTCTTAGCAGTTTCTGGATGATTGATGAATTCGCGAACCAAGTTTTCTTCATTGCAGGAGAAATGAGAAATATAGTCAACGGAAAAATTTTGTAACCAACTCGTATATTAAACAGCGATTAATGATCTCGAACATTAACGAGCTCGCTATTAATACACTAGTTGGTTAAATAACTATTTCGGTTGAATAACCGACAAAACTTATGAGTTGACTCCTTAGAATAATAAGTAACCTATTCTCGTTGATCGGCAGGCGGTTACGTGCTGGTCGGCGGCGCGATCTGCATGGAACTGCTGACGAAGCAAGGCTGGTCGAGCGCCTACACGGTGGAAGCGGTCATCATGCAGATATCGGCGACGCTGGTCAAGGGCAAGGCGCGCATCCAGTTCGCCGCGCCGAAGGTGTGCGCCCAACAGGGCCAGTACAGCCTCGCGCGGGCGCAGCAGAGCTTCAAGTCCTTGGTGCAGATACACGAGAAGAACGGTGAGCGGGACACGAGCGTCTAGCTTGACCAGCGAATCTTTCAAACATCGAGGTCAAGTGACGTTACCCATAATATTTCCGATGAACTCAATATAAATACCTGGCAGGGAGACTGCCGGTTTCTCGGATTGCAGTACAAATACCTGCTCCGTAAATACTCGACCATCCCTAGATAGCACAAAGTGTGTCAGGGGCAGCTGCAACAAAGATAGCTTGTGTTACGGCAAACCTGTCTCTTTCACACTCGTGTTGTTTAATGGCGGATTGGTGTATAAATATTCTTTTATCCAATAATTGGAGTACTTGAGATCTTTTTTTTCTTTTAAACAGACAACAAAGTGAAGAGAGAACTTCATTGTTGTTTGTTATGTGAAATATCGCTAAATTTGGTATTTTGTTTCCTCAAAAGAACTGAATTTGTCGGTGTGAATTGATTTTTGTTGAAGAAAAGATTTGTGATTTCGAATTAATAAACAATCGTTATTTATATATTGTGTTGCCTTTGGATGCAAAACAAGCAAGAAAAACAGAAAGTGTCCTCTCCATGGGTAAGTTAAAAATTGTTCAGATTCTTAGAAAAACAATATTAATTTATTTTCAGGATGTGTCTGGTCTGTAGATGTTCATAACATGGGTTCTAAGGACAATGTTTTTCATATGGACATTGATTTGCTTACAACTTCCAGCTCCCATGTATGTTTGGAAGTTTATTGATAATGAAACCCACACACTGTTTCATTAGAGAAGGCCTATTCTATTGCAATGAAAAGTGAAAACATTGAAACAGAAAGTTAAAAGGAGAATGACGATTTTGAGGTACTAAAAAAAATTTGAAGGTAAACACTACAAGTTCAAATTTTTAAAGTCAAGACCTACATCATAATATTGTCTTTTCAGATTTGCCTTTGGAGTTTCTCCTTTACCAGAAAGGAAAAAATGGAGGTGTACATTCTGGGCGACGCAGATATTCATCTTTGATGAAAATTTTTTTATTCACCTCTCATTCACCTTCTAATATTGAAATGTTTATGGAAAAAAAGGTACTCTTAAAAATCAGACTTAAATTAGACCTTAGGTACTCGATACCATTCAAGAACCTCTTTTCAAATTTTTTCGATCATTTTTCTATTTCTTCTTATGGTGCTGAGACATTGAGCTTCGCTCACCCTGTTCAATATATTGTGACATTTGAATGAGTATATATAATTCTAATTTTGTATTCATTTGCCTTCCAAATTCTGTGAAAAAATGGAATTTCACTTTTGAGTCAATAAAAAAAACAATAATTATTTTCGAATAATAATTGATTGCAACATTACCCTTTTTCCTCAATGAATATTTGTATTTAATACTCTTGAATAAAAGCAAAGAACAAAAAAATATTCCAAATAAAGCGAGGCGCTTTCCATTAACCAGCATACGATAGAAAGAGATAGGTATCCGTAACCACTGCGGGTTGCCTGAACAATATTTTTGCCTCACTCGTCGTTCACAGAGGATCACTTCCAGGTGTTTTTATTGAGTTCATTGAATATTTCTTCCTTATTTATATTGAGAAACTACGACTCCTACCTACGAGAAAAGCGATAGCTTAGATATCTCTGTGTGTCTGACTTTCACGGAGATGGCTGGGGTTCCATCCCTGCGAGGCGCCATTCTTTTCTCTCTCAATTTTTCAAATATATACTTTTCAGGAAAAAGGTTCATTTAGGAAAAGTCATGTTACCTTTTAAGTCTAATAAACACGAATAACCTTCTGATAACCTTGAGGATTGAAAGATACACTGGTCTAGCTAGACACTTGTTAGGCGGGGGCTCTTTGATTGTTGTTTTTTGGATGGTATATCGTGGTTCATTCCATTTCATACAATTGCCAGTTGATAGGTTTGTTGAGGTTAGATTCCATTACATATTAATATCAAATTTTCACTTTGGACGTTTCAGGAACGAATCTGCTCCAAAACAAATTGTCACTGACAAGCAATTGAATTGTTCTGTTAGGCTCTCTCATAGGATAATTTTTAAAGACAGTGATATTTTGGAGCAAACCGTCTGGTTTGCCCTCACTACATGTATATTGAAATAATACCCATATTTTTATTTTATAGAAACGGGAAGAGAAAATCTCAAAATATCTGGAATAATGACATTGAAAAATGTTTGTTGTAGTTTTGTTTGACGTTTGTTGACGTGAATGGTATGACGCATTATACATAACGATCACTGATGTTCTGTGCAACAAAAATGATTCAAATGAAACAATTTCTCGTCTTAGTTCGTATCATTTCATAGTAATTGTATATGTACTTCAATGTACAAACGTACATACCAACTGGCAATCGACCTCCATCAAGTTTCTTCAGACCTATCATACTATATTTCAAGAAGAACTAAAAAATCGTACCCTTTTTCCCACTCGAGGAGACGCTATGCACTCTCATTCAAAATGAAAGACAAATAAAGATATATGGATGTATTCCTCCCTGAATATGTAGAGGAAGGAAGATGCGAGAAGCCTTTATCTATGCGAAAAATATATTCTTGTCCTTGTTTGACAAATCCTATGATTTACTTCAAAATCGTTTTTGGATATTTCTAACTGTCATTGCTTGTCGAGTGCCCATACTCTAATGTACAGAAAATCTCAAAACAGCAGTTTCAAGTACATTGAAAATCTAGTTATTTATAGGTGATCAATTGGATGATGAGAAAGAAAATACAAGACAGAGCCAGAAATATGTAAACTACGAAAGGAAACCAAAGAAAACTTTTTATACGTTATCTTTTTCATTTAATAGGAATTTCGGCAAGTCAGAGGTCTGCTATGATAAGGGAAATGTTGCAACGCCCATTCAACAGATGTTACAAAGGAAATGAAACTAAAAAGCGAATGGGAACACAGCAACCTAGTCGTGTACGAATTTTAATAGGAAAGAATACAGTGATAAGAAAACAAGACAACACTATCAAGGATCTGCAAGAGAAAGTTAAGAAACTAGAAGAGAAAGTGGAATTCTGTATGGAAAAATTATCGAGACTTGATATATTGGAAACTGAAATTGCAGTGATTAAAGGAATTGGTAATGATCCACCAGCTTGTCCGAAATCTCCTCAGGTACAAACTGGAGCAATATCTAAAAGAGCAAGAGTGATGAAAAATTTAGAGCAGGTGGCAGGCCCATCTACTTCGTCAAATAAACCACAAACTTCGAATGATATGACAAATCTGGTGAATGTGTTCCCAAATTTGGAAATCGACAATTACTTTGAAGACGATCAACACAAGAATTCGGACAAAGGACAAACACATTAAAATCTTGAATTTCTATAGCATATTAAACATGATTTAGAATATATCTAGTACAGGGATTGTTTTATGTTGGTTTTTGTAATCAATAATGTTATGAATTAAGTTTTTATATGTTCAGTCAATTGATTTGTATTGACGATTATACGTTAAAAGTCAAGACTATACCTTTTCAACTTCAATTTCGGAATCGGTAAGTTATATATCGGAAAATGTAATCTCGATTTCATAATTGGTTAGTTCGATTTCAGAAATGGTAAACTCAATTTCAGAATCGGTGAGATGAATTTCAGAAAAAGTCTATTCAATTTCAGAAATGGTAAGTTGTATTTCAGAATTGGTAGGTTCAATTTCAGAAAATAAATCCTTATATTTGTTCGAAATGTTTCCAATTGCATGTGAGATTAACAAACCATATTTACAATATTCAACTTGTCAAAAACAATTCAATAACATAATTATAATCTCAATTTAATCCACAGATGCCTTCCATCCGAATCGCTGGAAGATAGTGGCGTTGCACATGATTATAAGAATGCAAACACATTTGAGGTGTTATCATTTTCATTGAATGATTTGGACATTCTTCAAGACATCGCAGTCTGAATTCTATCTGGTTGAGCAATCTGTTCGGATCTCCAGCTATGACCCTTTGCAAGAAGCTCTTCACTTCTGACTTGAAGGCACTCCATATATGTTCAATCTGATTCAACATAGGGCTCTCAAACACCGTTCCATCTACTGTAAACAATCTTCTCTTTTGCAATTAAAAACATTTCAAACATATAAAAGGATTTCATCTTCTGAAATTGAACCTTCCAATAATAATTCTGAAATACAACTTACCATTTCTGAAATTGAATGGACTTTTTCTGAAATTCATCTCACCGATTCTGAAATTGAGGTTACCATTTCTGAAATCGAACTAACCAATTCTGAAATCGAGATTACTTTTTCCGAAATATGACACCGATTCCGAAATTGAAGTTGAAAAGGTATAGATTACTTTGCAGAAGAAAGTATTAACTACATTCTATTGCGCGATGGTGTATTAGTCAATTTTTTTATCAAGTGACAATCTGAATTTATAAAATATGTTTTGTTTTCCCTTTCAGTTTATATAATTTTCATAATTCTAATGCATCCTTATATTATATAATCTTCGATTATCAATAAAAATAATTTTTTATTGCAATTATTGTTATTTACTGAACTAAAACTTATTCTAGGTTAAAAATAGAATCCAACCTTTCGAACATGGCTGGTGATGCACTTTGTTCACATCAGAAATGAAAATATTTGGTTTCCTGGAATCGATAAAGTCGGTAAACCATTTAGACCGGCATCCTCCCGGGTTCTTCATGTGTTAAAGTTAATAAACATTATTTTTTCGCGAATTAAGCGTTTCGATACGATTCCAGCTAAGCTGCCTGTGTTCCAAAATGAAATATAAGTGATATACGTTGAAAATACATAGTTATACTGGGTAGGTAAATCGAAAAGGTTATTACAGTCAGAGATTAACCCGATGAGTTGAGGCTTTGCACCCCTTTGTAGTCACTTTGGAGACCGGCAGAACATCTCTTTCCAAAGACTCGTTCATCCAACGAACAGCGAGGCTCTGGAACACATTGTCAAGGGAGGTGTTTCCCGAGGCATATAACCTCCAGAAATTTTAGAACACCAATTCCTACCTTATTTCCCTTGGTTCTCACGATGTTCTCTGAACATTACAAGATATCCCTTCTCGTGAGAACCAGAACATAAAAAAAGGTGTATACTTTGTATTTCAAAGGATAATATACTGTGCTATTATCGACTTTCTGTACTCATACGTTGTAAGTGTCCTAACTAGAAATTTAAATCATTTCTCAGGATTTTTGGAATTTTCCCTCTCCATAAATGAATATATAAGTATCAAGTCATGGAATCCATCCCTCCTTCCCAAAGTGGACCAATATTTTTTCAAAGGAAAAATTGTAGAACACAAAGTCAGTGGACCACAAAAATTATATTTACAAATCATGTTTGTGACTATTTTCGACTCAACGGTCACCTTCAGACACATAAAATTACCTAAGAAGACATGTAGAGATGTTCAACTAGAAACTACCTGCTTGAATTTCCAGTTTTTGACCTAGCTTTATCTCCAAAAATCTCCTTAGGTATTTTTATGTGTTTCAAGATGGCCGTTGAGTCGAAACTAGTCACAAACATAATTTATTAATACAATTTTTGTGGTTTACTGACTTTGTGTTTTACTGTTTTTTTCTTTAAAAGGATATTAATATTTCAATAAACCTGTATAGTGAAAATAAATCAGAAGATTTGTCACAAAATGCTACTGAGATGCTTAAGCTTCACTTACGAGGAAAATTCAGTCGAGAGTAGGTGACACCTTGTTTGAAAAGTGTTTGAAGAAAGATATAAAAATTCACTCATCTTTGAACGTTTTGGGAAAGACTGCTCTCGTGTTCAACATAGAAATCGAAAATAATTCTTCAATCTATGTTGAAACGGGAGCAGAATCGTTCCCGAAATGTCCAAAGATAAGATAAATTTTTGGGTTTTTTGCGCACGCTTGTATAACTTTCCATACTTGTTAAGTTACTATTTCAATACACTCAAATTCTTCTTCAAACATTTCTCAAACAATGTGTCACTGACTATCGATTGTATATTCCTCTTAGTTTTGTTTCAGGGTGTGCAATCCCGAAATACCGATACCGGAAATCCCGTGGTCCTAGTGATATTTTCATACCAAGAACCCGGGATCACATCCGATTAGATCCCGGGAATTTCGGGATTAGTTTTGAACAATAAGACTTCGCTCTCGTCAAGTGAATCAGATTATTATTATTCGAGGTTCCTGAAAAAAAGGTATTATGGAGATACTCGTGAGTCATACAAAACGTTTCTAAATAGTTTCGAGGCAATAATTGATGAACAAACTGATGAGGAATATAGAATTCCTCTTGCGAGTCAAGCGTCACCGATTGTGTCACCGACTCAACCTATATAGATATCACATAACAAAGGAAATTACCCTTTTCGAAAATGGTGACAACAAAGATACATATCTTTTAACAACTATACCACTCACAAGTGTAGAATATGAAAGAGTATTTTCCGCAGCTAGTACCATTTGCACAAAAATCAGCACTCGACTCGCAGATAATACCCTTTATAAGTGGATTTTTGTCCGCTCCTGGTCCAGTCAACAGGAATAAATGTTCTGCCGTTTTTTCTTCACTTTTGGATGTATAGATTACATTTTTTGTTCATATACGAGCATTTATGTGATCATTACGTATCTACAGTATACCCTATACTTTTTTCAAATTGTAATCCCGATACCGGGATTCCGGGTTCGTATCAATTTGATCCCGGAATCCCGGGATTGTATTATCACTCCGGGATTGCAAACCCTAGTTAGTTTGCTTCTGATTGTGAAATTTTGATCAGAGTGACATTTTGGGGCATATCATCTGATTTGTCCCTACTACAGATATATTGAAATAATACCTCCTCAATTAACCTACAGACAGTTGAAATTTAAATGGTTGGTGGCGAAAAATGTAGAGTAAGGTGTAGTTTCTGGTCTGTTGCTGTTTGCGTTTTTGAATGAAATAATGTTACTTTCTGTTTCTAGGTTGGTTCACTCCCCCAAAGGAAGATGGCTAAGGTCGTTGTGCCATGCCGTGACATTTCTTCGATTGATTTTTTCGAAAGTGCAGGCGCATATTCGATGTCTGTTTCCGTTGGTATAATAAAATGAAATTCTCTCAAATCATCAAATACTTGTTTATCTTAGTGCCTACAGTTTTGCTCGTGGGAAGTTCGATAGTTCGAGACTAAAATACAGACTTACAGATACCTAATAGAGGTCGTCTGGATCATGTTGTTTTAGGGAAATGTGATTTTTATGTTCCGTATATCTGTGTGGAATAACTTGACTGTGACTATATAATTTTGTTGTAGGCTTTTGTCATTTTTTTTTTCTCTGGCCAGTCTGTTATAGGATACATGATTGATGATATTGTCCTAGGTCATTGATTTTTTTCTGGGAGAGACCCAGTAAATTGTGCAATTGCTGGTCCTAGAGATTAATTTTTAACTGTTTCAGTTTGATTGTTGACATTTATTTTTTTGATTTTTTGGGGTTATTTTTCGCAAATTTAAACTAAATTGGGTGTGATAATTGACTGTAAATTACTACAATTTGAGAGAGAACACACGCTCGAGGTCTATAATTTCTCAATTGTTCTTTCAATATTTGGGAATAGAGCATTTACTATTCGACTTTTTTCTTGATCAATACAATATTCTTTGAGATGACAGTATAACATCAGATGATGATATTCGCGATAGAAAATAAGCGTACGCCACCTATCGGAGAAGCTGTTTAAGCGGCATGTTTGCTTTATTTTCATTGGTTCGCGTTTGTTTTTTGTTCGTGCTTATTGGCCATAACATCAAAACAAACCACTCAGAAGTGTTCAAGTTGTTGAACTGGCTGATACTGCCGTTGTCAAAGTTTCGAATGAAGGCTATTTCAAAAAGCCTTCAGGACTCTTTGGAAATTGAAAAAATCATTGCGAAATTATGTTGACCCGAGTGGATGGTGGGAATGGTATACTGGGTGTCCCAGGGACCTAGAACTTTTTTTTTCTGAAAACATACATATGAAAAAACAGAAGAATTTTTTGACTGAAATGACCAGAAATGACGGTAACTCGTTGATTTCTAAATAGTACACCAAGTATATTAGTGTAGATCAAAATCTATTGGTGAAATGTATTCACCTCAGTATATTTTATTCAAATTATGATTGAAATGATTCACTTTTGATTTAGATCATCGATGAACTAGAAACGGTGAACTATTCAAAATGTATAATTCAGATATAATTTTATCTTGAAGTAATTCACTTTTGAACTAGTAAAACGTTTCCATTGAGAATATCCTTATGATCACGAAAACGACAGGGTGTCCTATTTAAAAATCTAAAGTTTGATGTTATTTCCGGATCTACCGGGAGCTGAAAAAAGTTGTGTCATCTACCAAAAAAGCACTTTCATGTTTTGTATATATCCGCCTTATGTCTTTGGAAAACAAAAATGGGGCTAGCCACTTCTTGGGACACCTCATTGAATATTTATAATAATATTTTTTAAAGTGATGAATTTGAAATTTTCATAAGAGAAATGAACTATTTTCTAATCAAATATCTTACTTTTTCATCACCGACTGATATCGAATTCTTGAATTAAGCTTTGAAGTGAATCCATTCAAAGCACAATTGCTTCTTGTTTTTCTTGTATTAGGATTAGTTTTCGACTCATACACCTTTTACGTTTAACACTGTACATATTATAACCATTGAAATACACGTGAGGATGATGAAATGATTGTGATTTTTCTCATTTTGACTGTTGCTCATCGGACAGACATACATTATTAGTCGCCGAGGTTGCTGTCAATACAAAAAAACTTGTAAATTGAAAAAAAAACTGAAGTGATAGCTACCTTATTTCGATGTTCAATAATTATTGTACCTAGTTTATTCGTTTAGCGATTATTACTTTTAGTTAAATCAGCAGCAAACAATGTATATAATGATTGAAAATGTAATGAGTTTTGCTGTAAACTTCATCCACCCCCTCCGACAATTTGTGAGTATGTGCTCTAGTTTTTAAAGTCAATAAACCATTATTACAAAAGTTATTATGGATTAATTTTTGGCTAAGTATATCTTTATAAAACAATAGGTGGAAGTGACTCATTATATTGATGTTATTTTATTTTTAATTTAAATTATTCGTTGAGGGTTCATTGTGACCCACTCAACACTGGAGCACCCTTATAAAATCTAAACTGGTCAACATTGATAACGTCGTGCTCCAAAATATAGCCTAAATTCAAAGTAGAATAACACGAATTTACTCACCAATTTGAAATCGGTTTTCACCGATGATTAGCCTAATCTCTTGACAGTTTGTTGTGGCAATATGAAACTTCTGTAATTTCAGATAACATTGCTACAGGGTGATAATTGACTGGGTGTAAAATTGCATAGGGTCGTCACCTTACCGTTTGAACAGATAATTTTTTTAATTTTTTTTCTCACATGTATCCTCTTGATTGATGCTTTCTCTCGGAATGTTTTCGGAATTTTCAAATTCAGAGCTTTGATAATCGTGTTATGAATATTCATTCAGAATCAGAATGATGCATTTTTTCGACGATTAATTGAATGAAATTGAAAGTTGAAATTCTTCTCCCAAGAATCAACGTTGTATGTATAGTCGTCGGATATGTGATCGTGTTCGAACACAGAAAATTCTGAAGAAGTCTATACAAAGTGATACAAGAAACACTGAATGATGGAATGGAGATTAATGTAGTCTCCAGTAGATGAAACATAATTTTCTCTGTGTTACTAGTGGAATAATGGAATGTTTTACTTCGTCATGAGGATGTCTGGTGTCTGACCTCGAAATGATTTTGTGATTTCTTGGATCGAAGGTCATATAATGAAAGTACGCATTTTTATTCGAAATGATGCATTTTCGTTGAGATAAATTATAAAATTCAAAAAATTACCATTGTAGTTCCAGAAGTATGAAATTTATATTTATTCTTGACGATGGATGAACAAGGTGCGATAAAAAATATGTCAAGATTGTCCCGGGATGAAGAAGGATATGTTATTTAAACGTGATGAAAATCGCTATGTTCCGAAAAAGGAATATATTGTCGGTCATTGTCGAAATTTGTGAAATGTATAAATACAGTAACTTTTCATGAGGTTTTTTATACGAGGCAATATGAAAGAGGCTGCAGAATTGCCATATATTCGATTTAATGTTTTCATACTAATGAAGATGAATACACAGTAAGTCCTCATGAGGCTTATACGAGGTAATATGAACGAGACTTCACATATTGGAATGAACGTCAATCCAATATACAATTAGGATTTTTTGGACGTGAGGAAACATAATAGCAATAATTGTGAGTATAAGTATGGAAATCTATATTTTTTACAACGGAATTCGTCAAATCTATAGCATCAGGTGAGATATTATGAATTCCTTATGAATCACCCTGTGAAAAAGATGATGCAGAAATGAGCATTCAAGAGTTATTCTATCTCCATTAAACTTCACACTGAGTGACAATGAGGAAAGTTTCCTTTGGAAGACCATGTTGTAGGTGCTAGATCAGTGTAAGATGCAATGGTATCAAGTATGCACGAATATATGGCAATTTTGAAGTCTCATATTATCTCGTATAAACCTCATGAGGACTTACTGTATTCATCTTCATTAGTTTGAAAACATTTAATCGAATATGTGGTAATTCTGCAGCCTCTTTTATATTTCCTTGTATAAACCTCATGAAAAGTTACTATATTTATTCATTTCACAATTTTCGACAATGACCGACATTATATTCCTTTTTCGGAACATAGCGATTTTCATCACGTTCAAACATATTCTTCACCCCAGGACAATCTGGACATATTTTTTACCGCACCTTGTATATCCATCGTCAAGAATGAATATGAATTTCATACTTCTGGAACTACAATTGTAATTTTTTGAATTTTTTAATTTATCTTAACGAAAATGCATCATTTCGATTAAAAATGTGTACTTTCATTGTATGACCTTCGATCCAAGAAATCACAAAACCATTTCGAGGTCAGACACCAGACATCCTCATGACGAAGTAACACTCCATTATTCCACTAGTAACACAGAGAAAATTATGTTTCATCTACTGGAGACTACGTTATTCTTCATTCCATCATTCAGTATTTCTTTTATCACTTTGTATAGACTTTTTCAGAATGTTCTGTGTTCGAACACGATCACATATCCGACGACTATACATACAACGTTGATTCTTCGGAGAAGAATTTAAACTTTCAATTTCATTCAATTAATCGTCGAAAAAATGCATCATTCTGAATGAATATTCATAATACGATTATCAAAGCTCTGAATTTGAAAATTCCGAAAACGTTCCGTGAGAAAAAAAAATTGAAAAAATTATCTGTTCAAACGGTAAGGTGACGACCACTTTGCAATTTTACACCCATTCAATTATCACCCTGTAGCAATGTTATCTGAAATTACAGAAGTTTCATATTGCCCCGACAAACTGTCAAGAGATTAGACTAATCATCGGTGAAAACCGATTTCAAATTGGTAAGGAAATTCGGAGTTATTCTACTTTGAATTCAGGCTATATTTTAGAGCACGACGTTATCAATGTTGACCAGTTTATTTTCTGTGTTTATAGCCAAATTATTGGTGTTGAGGCGATATTTACTACCTAATAGTTCTAATTTCTTTTATAATCATAAAACTGATATATAGGTAAACAAAAAATCCACATCCAAACATTAAAGCAATATATTCAAGGAAACTAGTTTGACAGTTCAATTAAAATTCAGTCATTGAATATAAGCTTGTTAACTACTATATGCTAAAGAAAATATCGAAGTTTTCCAACAATTGTTCATTACCATTGATCTTATTTCTTTAAACATTTTGAGAAAATAGCTTCCAACTAAAACTATGGTATTAAAAGTTCCTTAGTTATATGACTCACTGACTATATTAGTTCGCCAATATAAATAAATTAAATACAAACATTACAAAACTACATCTACTTTTTCTAAACGGGTTATATATTTACAAAAACTAACCTAATATATCACGGAATATAAATATATTCAAATAAACATAATACAGTCTTCAACAAAGTGAATGTTTTTCTCATACTAAAACATCGGACTAGAAATGCATTGTAATTGCAAAATAATTTGAAGAATAATACAAATAAAAACAACCTAAGTCTAGAACATCTTCCTTTGCGCAAAAAATACAATTAACCACTAGAACACCAAAATAATTAATTCAACAGAAAACAGAAATCCAGTTTCTTTTTCTGTTGATGACTTTGCACAACATAAAATTCCAAAATGTAATGCCCTAATTAAACTTGTAAAATTAACGCAGTTCACTTGAGAAGTTGGTTTTTGGCAAATTACACATCAATAAAAATTTTATGGATCAAATGAAACTTTATTATCAATATACTCGACAAACCCCAACTTGTCATGCGACTCAGATAATTCTAGGGTGCCTGGAATTCGAGTATCATCATTGTGATCTCCTAAGAGATGCAGGGTCGGTTGAATTATGGTCAAGTTGCGCAAATTTATGCATAACAAAATTTTGTTTCCTAAGACACTATCCATTTTTTGAAATGAAGTGAAATAAAAAATCCAGGATCTGAAGACAAAACGGCTGATTTCAAATTTGAAAACTCCAGCTTGTAGTGAACAAGAAGTCGCCATGATACAGTGTCATTCATTTGGATTAATTTCTTCAACTAATCTAAAAAACAAACAGAAGAGGGGTTCTAGGAAATGTCGTTTTTTTTAGTTTCAAAACGGCATTTTGTTAGACACAAAATTCCGCAACTTTGCCAATTGTTAACCGACCCTGTATCTATTACGGTTTACGAGACCTCAATGATGATGCTCAAATTCCAGCCACCCTGTACATGTACATTCTGTACTAAGAACAAACCAAATTACGACCCCGCATCAGTTGCCTGAGGCAGCCTCGTTTCGACTCCGTTCTCATCCATCACTACGAACGACCCTAACCTAGAAATGCGCTTGACCGAGTCGCCGTTACCTTCAGACGGCGAATTCGAATTCCTGAGTATGACGCTGTCTTTGTTGTCGAAAGTGTTGCTCCTGATCAACCTCGGAGGCTCTGGATCCGCCTGAATCCACACTCTCGAGTCCTTTTTCGGCGGCAGCTTCTTGCTGTCTTCGATTTTCTTCCACAGGCTGGCTATTTTGCTGGTCACTAGCTTCTTCGCGCCGCCGCTGCCGTTGGAGTTCAGACTGCTGTTGCTGCTTGACCTGAAATAGGAAGATAACCCTCAACATTGAACCATGCATCCTACCAAAGTATTATAATAATCGGTGTATTTGCTTATTTTGAAAAATGTTTTCACTTTGAAACATATGTTTAGTAAAGGGTCTTTCAACAAGGACTGGTCGATGTTGTAATTGAATAAAACAAGCTGTGTGTGAGATATCAAAGATTTTTTTATTTCATTTGAAAGACCCATTTATGCCATCATTTATGGAATATGACATCGTTCAAATATCCGCCGCGGCTTCGAACAGTGACACGGATCCGAGAGGTCTAATTTTCAATGACTCTGCTGCATTAATTCGGCAGAATCTGAGCAATGGCTTGCGTTATGTTCACTTTCAGGACATCGGTCGACACTAGAAAAGGTCTAGTGGAGTCAAATCGCACGATCTTGGCGGCCAATTCACATCACCTCTGCGAGAGATAACCCTACCCTCAAACCGTTCGTGCAGAATGTCCATTGTATCGTTCGCTGTACCCCACGTTGCGCCGGTTTGTTGGAACCACACGTCGTCCACATCCATATCGTTCAATTTAGGCCAAAAATTTAATCATTGATCTGTTGCGCTCGCCGTTGACGGTGATGGCCTCGCCAACGTCGTTTTCAAAGAAGTACGGACCAATGACGCCAAAATCCGCACCAAACAGTAACTCTTTGTGGATGAATTGCCACCTGGTGAACCTCCTGTGGGTGTTCATCCCATATACGGCAATTTTGCTTATTACGAAAACCATTCATCCAAAAATGGCCTCGTCGCTACAGATTATTTTTCGGCCAAAATCGGGGTCCTCTTCCAAACGTTCCGAAGCCCACTGAGCGAACAAACGACGTTGCCTATGGTCATTAACTTTGAGCTGCTGGGTCAGTTGAATCTTCTACGGGTGCAGGCCCAAGTCCCGGCGCCAAATTCCCCAAGTCGAAGTCTGCGAAAGGCCGAGTTCTTGTGCACGGCGAGAAATCGATTGCCTCGGAGTCTAATGCACACTCTGACAGACAGCGTCGATATTATCGGCCGATCTGGCGTTCCTTTGACGTAAGGGCGTTGTTGTCATAATTACGTCGAAAGAACATATTATAGAACGCACCCATGTTCGTTTTTTCAAAAGATTGCTTTGTCTATCCAAAACAACCCCAGACTACATAGTTCGTCGTGAAGCTTCTGTCGCTAAACTAAATTATGCAGATAGCCATCTCCTGGATAAACCATGTGAAAACTTTAGATAGCACCAGGCTCCCAAGAATCTGTTTCCAATGCCTTATAACTCTGGATAACGTTGATCCAAAATATAACTGGCTTCTGCAGGTCAAAGATAATTTTTTAAAGGCAGGGCAAGCAGGCAAATGGCAGATTTTTTTGAATAGTACCTCGAAACGGATGACTGAATCGATATTAAACGCTTTCAAAGGCAAACTTCTAAGTGAGGACTTGAAGAGATTGAGTCTATCCACGTATCCCTATACTTTTCAAAGTCTATCCCTACGAATAAATGCACAGAACTATCTAACCCCTTCGCTTCCAATACATACAGTAAGAATTTTAGCAGCAAGAAATTTCTGAAATTTACGCTCAATGGTTCTAATAACTTCATCGACACTGAAGAACTATGCACAATATGCAACATGGAAAGAAGGGAGTCTCTATCACATTCTATTTGAGTGTCCTATATAGGAAGGTATACATACGTGCGTCAAACATTTTTCTGGAGATGAGAAGAGAAACCTTAACGACTGGACATATGCCCTGAATTTTGGTCCGCTAACATCTCTTAAGCAATTGGTTTTTGTGATGATGAATAAACTCAGGTTGTGTGTGAATAATCATAGTATTATATGCATAAGCATAACCCTTCTAATAAGAATTGTAATTCTTTTCAAATACAATAAATTATCTATCTATCTATCTATGAAATAAGGAATGGGCGTGTACACCTTAGTAGAACTTTTATCTCAAACCATGTTTATAATGATCCTTTTATACATAAATAATGATTGACGACATAATTCGATCGTAAAATTAATTGGAATGTTTTATTTTTGGACATAAATAATAGTACCTTCTGAAAACGGACCCTGTCCTTATGACGTAGGAACCTCATCTCGCCATAGTTAAAAGAAAATACCAAGCCCGACGGAGACTGAGGCAACTGATATATTAATTCTTTCAACTGTGATCTCGCGCTAATTCACTCTGTCAGAAATCATGTATCATTCATCTCTGTCTGGAATAGTCTTGTATCAGTATCAGGGTTTTGACGTCACATCATCGCCTCGTTTTCAGAGGTCCGAAAAATCGGGGATTTCAATATTTTTTTATAAAACGTAGGGAGCTCACAGCAAGAAACGGTTTGCGGTGGTGAGCTAGTTTGGGTGAGTTCTTTCGAATTATGAAGTAAAAATTTTTTGTGATATAAGCCCATTGTAATCAAGTGAAATCAATGAATTCTATTTCTATAAATACCTTTGGGCCAAACTCGGTATCGAAGACTTCTTCATCGCCCCGTTGCCCATCCTCCCCTCGCCCTTCAAGCTCTGCGTAGACGGGCTGGCCCGCATACCGCCCGAACTATCTCTGCTGTCCGCGCTCGTCGACCTGTTGTACACCCTCGCGCCCCTGCCGGCCCTATCCGAACTGGCCGACTTGACGTTCCCGTTACGCACCGTGGGTGGCTTGTTCGCGTTGGGCGGCTTGCTCGAGTTGGGCGGCGGCCGGGCTGGCAGCACGGCCTTGGCGATCTTCGAGCCGAAGGTGGGGATCTTGGTGTGGCAGGCGGCCGTGGGGATTTTGCTGGAAGCCTTCGGAGTGGTGGTGGTGGTACTGCTCGGGCTGGAATCGTCTTTGGTGAATGTGCCTTGGCGTTCCATGGGTGGTGTACCTACAGAAGAAGAATAAGAAGTGTAATGCTTGGTAGAGATGATAGCTTTTCGCTTTTCAGCTTATAGCGCTTCGGGTTCTGATTGGTCACAATTCATTCTCGGAAAAATAGAAAGTTCGTCTTGAGGTCAATAAGCGAAAAATGGTCGTACATTCAGAACATTCTATAGAAAAAAGCTGATATTTGTTTAGTATAACCCTAAAACAGTGTATGATAATGAAACCGACTACTAGATTTCTTGCAAGGAGAGGGCTTATATTGATACTGCTTGCTTGGGTTATTTGGTGTTAGTATTTTTTTTTCATCTATTCATTTATTTCAAAAATATCATACATGTCAGCATAAAATAGTGATAAAAATGTTTTTTGTTCAATAATTAAACCATGATCAAAAAAATTGAAAAAATTTGCATAATATCTAAAACTAGAGTTCCTAAATGTACTGGACACTGCTGATTTTGACGTTTTTTGTATAGGTAGCGTGCACGAAGACCGACCCTGGAGGCAAAATATTGAAACACAACCTCATTCTTCTGTGAATTATTGAAACACAACCTCACTTTTTTATTTGGTTACAGAGGAATCGAAAGGTTGAAATAGTTTTTCACAATATTTTGGCATACGAATCGTGTTTCTTGCGTTATTCATCAATTCAAGCATGCCTTCGCATTGTGCTGTTGTACAATGCACAAAAAATGCAGCAAGAGACTAGGGAATATGATTTTCCAGGTAAATAGTAATCTCACATAGTTAGCATTATGAAATGTTGTCATTCCTTATTAAAAGTCCTTCTGCCTTCTGCCACTTCTGCAATACAAGCTAATGCTGCTAATAGATTGAAAATGTCTACAACACACACGATCGTCAGCATGTCAGACCAGTCCTACCGATTGATTGCATGAATCCAATCTTCTTGCATTATTCTAGAAATTTCAGGTATATTTCTATTAGCTCTTATTGCAGAAGGAATTCCGCGAGAAATCAGAAATAACCAAATTTCAAAAATGAAAACTATGTGAGTGACTATAGTAGGTACTTACTTTTGAATCATAATGTACCATCCGGATTTCTTCATCTTCCGCTGCAGTTTTTGTGCATTTTACAACAGCACAATGTGATGGCATTAGCGAATTGATGAATAGCGGAAAAATACGATTCATATGCCAAAATAATTGTGGAAAACTATTTCGATCACTTGTAAACAAATATGTTTTGCCTCCAGAGTCGGTCATCTTACATGTCTTGCACGCGACCTATATTAGAGTACGGACACTATGACAAGCACTGACAATCAGACATAACCACAAATAAATTGATGGAAAAAGCGGGAACTGACAGTACACTGACGTACATGACACAAATTTCAAAGGTTTGACAAATTGGGAGAATTATGAGAAAGATGCAAGTTTGTGCAGTTTCCAACTGTGAGAACACGAGAAATCAATTCACTCTATTCAAATTCCCATCGGATTACGTATTTCTACAAAAATGGAAACAGAATAATATGATGCAGCCGGCATGGAATATAGGTTCAGGCCACAAAATTTGCAAGGTGTTTGAATTTCTTGGTAGAATATAGAACATTTTTCAACGCATCAGCTACACTTCAGAACGGAAGATTTGATGTTGAAGAATAGGATCGTGTTGAGAGAAAGAGCCGAACCCACAATTTATAAACTGAGCGAGTATCGAAAAGAACCTTATTTCAATTTGGACTGGTTATTGCTTGTGATGGAATGATGGAGCAGAGATCACGATATAGCCACCATGGAGATCATGGTCGATAATCTGATGATTAAACAGCAGCAACTTCCTGAATTGATTGACTTCAACAGATTTCAAATCCCTGTTCAACCAAGAATTTTTAAGATCATCTTAATATACGAATTCTTATAATAATTTTGTGGAAACATATAGCCACTTTGTGGATCTCTGATGTACCAGATATTGATATATCTATATCAAAGAGTTGAATATATTGTTCGTGTATTGCTTCTTCAAGGTTGAAATCTCATGTCTGAATGTGCATGTTCATGCGTAGTTTAGAAGTGCTAGACGACTACATAGCTTCTAGTGGATTTTGAACCACTTCTTGGGTACCAAGATATTATCAGAGCACATAACAAGAACTCTTAACAAGTGCACCATTTATATTAGGTATTGAAAATGATCTCTCGATGGCAGGGTTGATCCAACAATCCACTTTAGCAATGTGAACGGCGATCTATAGTGAGTCGAGCGCTGAAGTCTTGGAGAACCTTTATCATTTATCCCAACTGAAATCAGCTGTTATTGTTGTCATATCATTTGTTTATTTATTAATCACTTATTACCTACCACTCTTGTACAAGTGAAATTGTTCCACACGAAATAAAAGTATGTTTCTTGAAATTTATCAGTTTTCATCCCATTCTGAACTTTTGTGATAAACAAATATTCAACTGAACGTATGTACCTACATATAAAAGAATCATTTCATAGGAACACTATATGTATTTCGTTGATATATACGTACCAATTAACTTGATATCGACCTCCATAGAGGTCCTTCGGCCTTATCATTCAATATTTCGACAAGAACTAATTTTCTAATCAATTTATCGTATCCTTTAACCCACTCTTCCCAGGACTTGTGGAGGAAGGAAGATGCGAGGATCCTTCATCTTAGCGAAAAACATATTCTTGTCCTTGTCTGGCAAAACATATGATTTGCTTCGAAATCGTTTGTGGTTATATTTGATTGTCACTGCTTGTCTAGTGTCCGTACTCTGATATACGAAAAACGTCAAAACAGCAGTGTCAAGTACATTCAGGAACTCTATCTAAAACTAACTATAAAAACATGACATATAACGTAAACATACCCTTTGGTGAGGGATTCCCTTTGACGGTCCCGGGACTATTCTTGTTCAACGGTGCCCTAGCAGGACTAGTTTTCGGTGAATTTCGACTGGAAATCGACCTGCTGCCGTACCCGCTCGAAGCGACGCTCTGTCCCGTCGTCGGTCTGGACTGCGCAGTCTTATTTTGCCGGCTGACGACCGATTTCAAAGTTGTACCATTTTTGAGGGTAGACGTCACGTTCTTGACGAGATTCGACGTCATCGTTTTGACGGGTTTTATGCTCTTCGGGGCCACCTTGTTGCCGATGCTGGTCTTCGAGTACAATGGTTTCCTTCTGCCTCTGATACCCTGGAAAAAATAACTCATTTTATTTTTTTTTGTCAAAATTTCGACTTTCATTATGTTAAGTATTTCGGAATGTCGACTTTCAAGTCGAGATTTCGAAATACTGATTCAATTTAGCGAATGTTCTATCTCCTGCAATGTTGTATTCAGTGTATTTTTATTATAACTCTGGAAACACCATTATGGATGCTATGCTGTTGGTTAGCTCATTTAATTTTTCCCTACATTTCCAAACCATTTAAGACCTGATAACCATAGAGCTCTGCGCTTCAATGACTGCTTGACATGATGATGATATCTCGCATTTCATAGCTTTTTTATAGATCAAACTGTATACATTCTACCGTAGATGACAAAACTGTATACATTCTACCGTAGATGACAAAACGGTTTATTCAAATACAAACACTACAATAATAATTGACAATACAAGATCAAGAATCACAATAACTACATCTAAAACTCGAAAAACACTTCGAATTGATTTACTGTTTCACTCGCTAGTCGCTGTCTATAAATACAGGGTATGTCACGACGAACTTACACTTTCTCTATATCGACAAACAGTTGGGAGGGATCCATGAAAATATGCATGCTTATATTTGGGAATACGCTCTTTACATTTAAAATATTTTCAGCAATGCAGTGTTCCCGCTTCTATAAAAAAGTAGCAACAACTTTGTTATTTCAAATAGAAAATCCTGTATTTTATTGCATTTTTAGATTCTCCCTGAAGAGCTGATTTCATCGATACATCATACTTGCGGTCTATCGAAAATGATTACAGACATATAAGGTGTTCATAATCGATTTTTCAACTTCAGGATTTGTTTGTGTCGAAACTATTCATTATTGGCCAAAACGGCTCACATGAAAGGTTGCGATGTTCATAATTTCATATTTTATTTAGCATTAGTTCATCACACATTTGGATTACTATAGGTATTTGTTTTATTAATGTCAGTTGTTTTATTTATTATTATCCTTTAGTGCAATTTTATACTTTTACATTATACTCAAGTTTTTCACCAATGTTTTTGATATGCTGTGTTTTTATATTTCTATTTAGAATCAATCTGTTTATCACACACAAGCTGGTAAAACAGCTTCAGTGATTATCCCTGTTTATTCCTGTTCTTATATATTCTGGATATATTGTAAAATCATTTATCAACTTTTGATTTACTATTTACTGATATTCAATCGAAACAGATACAGGGTGATCAGAATTCTGAATCTTGAACCACCCTGTGTCTGTTCCGATTAAATATCAGTGAATAGTGAATCAAAAGTTGAGATAGGGACATGTGAGTCGTTTGGAACGATAATGAATAGTTTCGACAGAAAAAAAATCCTAAAGTTGGAAAATCTCGATTTTGAACACCCTATATCTCTTAAATCTTTTTGGATAGACCCCAAGTGTGACATATCGATGAAATCAGCTCTTCAGGGAGAATCTAGAAATACGATAGAATACAGGGTGTTCCATTTGAAATGTCACTGGTGCTATATTTCGAATGAGGAGAGCGTATTCTAAAATATGAACATGCACATTTTCATGGATATCTTCCAACTGATTCTCGATACAAAGATCATCCTAAAAATGATTCATTTTATATTTCTTATCGCGTAGTTCAACTCAAAATAATAATCGACCTGTCCGGCCTTTTTTCGAGAAGATACTTTTTTGAATAATGCATTCCAATACCGAATCACACTGTATTTTATATTTCAATTTCACTTGACGTATAATCTCGATATTGATAAAAAACTTGTTCTGGAATTAATCGGTTAGAAGTGTGATGCAACTATTTAGTCATGCCGGACGAGGTGGTGAATCAAAGCAAATCAGTCTTATTTTAGATAGTGTCGTGTTCGGTCGAATCAAGTAGTACTTGAAATAAAACAATGATATCGTGCTACTTACAAGTAATACGAACCGAAAAGGAATGTCCTTTCAAACGGACTATTGAGAGTGTTGTGTTTTCTCTAATTCCTTGTTCAGTAAAGTAATTATACCGTGTAAAATGCGTGCTGTGGAAAAGCGGAAGTTTCAATATTGAAAAGACAGATAGATAGACTATCAAGTATTTCAATCGAAAAATTGTGCTACCATGTCATGTCGACCAGAATCCTCTGATCCCGTTTGATGGCAGACAACGATGAAGGAAAATTTTCGCAGATTGCTCTAGATCTACCGCCTGTTTGAAAACAAGGTAAATTTCATCATTACATTGAATCAAAATGAATTATGGAAATTATTTTGGCAACTCTATATTCGCGAATTTCCTAGGAGTAACGCATATTTTTCTTAGTCACTCACGTATGTCAAAATCCTACGTTACAGTGTTGTGTTGTGTTGTATTCTCAACCATTTTAGGACTTTTTGTGTTTCAATTGATTTTCAGTTTTTTCTTGCTATGAAACTAATATAAAGACAATTATTAAAAGTCGATTATGGTTCGCCAGTGCGTGGATTGTGAGAAATTCCAAATTCCACTGAATGATGGATCAAAATTAAGTACTACGAATATTTGGTATTGAAATTACAAGATTAGACCCAAACAATTTTTTGTCATGTGAAGAAGTGTGAACATTGACGCACAGTTTACAACGTTGCCAATTTTTAAAGCCATCTCTTTCTATCTTGTTTGAAACTTTGGAAGTATGTATGATTGTAAACAAATAGTGTTAGCCATAAGTAAATGCTATTTACCTAAGGCAACTTTATAAAGTAGCCAAGAACATACGAGATACAGCCTCAGTAAGTAGCTCTTCACGCACAGTAAGCACAACGCACAGTTTTCGTTTATTCCGCCAGTATAGGTGTGTCATGATCGCGTAATCGCCGTCAACAGCGGATGATATAACTGTCAAGAATTATAGTTCAGACTGTTTGTCCAAACTTTTCTGATGTACTATATGGCAGTAGGTAAAGTATAGTACGTTATTCGTGTTGTAAAGCTATTACGCACTCATTGAATTAAGCACTCGCCGCTCTGCAGGCTACGTGCGTAACTTCCCCATTCGTGCGTAATATGCTTCTTACAACACATATTACGTGATATACTATTTCGAATCCATTGAATCTAGTGTGGTTTTCAAACCAACTCAATTTGTTTTTTATTTGCAAATTGATTGATTGATTGATTGTCTTTATTACCCCAAGAAACATTTCTGTTTATGATAGGGATACAAAAATACATATAAAAAATAATAATAAAGGGTTAACTATAATGAATTCCACTCAGTGGAAACGAATTAATATTGTGTCTTATAAGATTAAAGTTATATTTCATTCCTAAGTAATCAAATCATGCCACATATTTTTCATTCAAATAGTCCTGAGCAAGTATTTTTTAAGATTGATTTTAAACCTTCTTGCATCATGTTTATTTTTCAACTCATTCGGTAATGAATTGTATAAAATTATTCCATTGTGAAAAACAGATTGTTTGCCAATGTTTGACTTGAATGTTTTTGCTATCAAGTAATTAAATTGTCTAGTCCCATAATTATGGACTGTATTGACTTCATTGAAAGCTAAATTTGATATTTTCAATTCATTCCTGACAAAATGAATAAAGCAACATATTTTAAGTTCATATAACGAAATCAGGTTCAGAAAATGTCTTGGTTTGTATAAATTTATCTCGATCCACAAATAAACCTCGTTACACAAAACAAAGCATTTCCTAACTGGTTACGTAAATATCCATTCACTGTAAAACATGTTTCAATATCATTTATCTACCTTAACCTCTTCCTCGATGACCTGCGTTTCGACCGGACTATCGTTGGGCTTGACGATTTTGGGTTTGCCGACCACCCTTCGCTCGTCCTCGTCCTCATCCTCGGAATTCCGGTTCGCCTCGTCGCCCAGCGAATCCGGCACACGTTCATCTCCTCTTTCTTCTTCGCCGTCACCAATAACCGGCACGTTTTCCGTCCTGATGCCCCAACTCTTGTGATACGTTCTGTAGTTGACAGAACCTCCAGAATTGTACTCGGAATCATCGTCGTCGTTGCTCACCTGCGAAAATTCGAGAGTGGATACCCTAGATTGGTATTCAACAGCTCAATTTGTCGGTCGATAGCCAAGATTGATAATATCAATGTTGATATCGTAAACATTTCTTGAGGCATAGAATATTATTGTTGTATCATCTGATAATGGGGGAGACCACTGACTTTTCAAAACGATTATCGAGAGCTCTATAGCAAAAACCTACCAGTGAACATAATTTTGAATTATTTGCTTCATGCATGTATCATCAATCAATGAGAGAATGCCAAACCTACCCAAAAGAACAACTACTTGCTCGAGCTCGATCTTGCTCTAGTTCATAGATATTATTTATTACTTATTATTTTATAATTATGTTCTCCCTCATATCAGACCTTGTTCTGATAGGAAGATATATTTGATAAATGAATAAATAATCTTGCATTTCTGTCCCTTGATGTATGTACAATTTCATTTAGAGAGACAACGGACGTCTCTTCCCCTCTTTTTCTTCCTCCCTCTTACCAGACTGATCGTCTCGCAATCGAGCAGGTCGTCCTGCGTAGTCTTCGTGTCGCGCAGCGTGCGCAGCACCCGGTCCGCCTCCTTCTGCAGGTGCAGCCGCACCTCTCCGCTCGACGAATCGTCGGGCGAGAACCCGCTCTCGCTCACAGTCTGTGTGCGGAACCTGTCCTTGTTCTCGAGCCGCTTCTGCATGAAGCTGCGCCGGATCGAGTGTTTGGTGCGCGCGGGGCTGTGGGCGGGACTGCTGGAGGCGGGGCTATTCGAGGCGGGGCTGATGGAGGCGTGGCTTCGACTGAGGGAGTCGGAGGGCGGGGCGGGCGGGTGGAGCGAGCTGGTGACGGCTTCGTCGAGAACTTGCGTTTCGAAACGAGATCTGGCAGGGAATATGGAGAAGCTGTTTTAGTATTGCACAGTAGCAGTGAATGTAAGATCATCTAGTCAATTCTAGTCAGTATGTCATGGAGCAACAGGTGAATTATGTGTCCAGCATAACAATGACCAGTTTGGGTATTTTCATTTTTTACATATAGAAATGATAGAAAATTACTATGAAAGCTTCTATATTGGGTCGAGTATCTCGAGTAACTGTTCATTTTAGCTCTATTGAAGGTGAGGCATTTTTTGAACAAAATTGAACAATAATACAAGAAATTGAAATGATCGAAATCAAGTAAGTGACATAGAAAATATGGAAAGAAAGGATACCACAACCCCCTGTAGCTAACCACTGGATAAGAGGTCCGGAATGTCTTTCTGGTTAAGAAAATGACCCATTCAAAGATGAAACCATACATAGTTCAACGCGCCAATGAATATGTTCAGTCCGCTGGGCTAAAAATATCTGAACGATTCGGTTTTGCAGATTACGTCGCTTTCATCAAGTCACAAATGATTTGACCGACTGCACTTTTAAACTGATATCACCATTTCTAGCGAGCGTATGGGATTCCTTTTTGAATTGACAGTGAATTGATGATCGCATCATTTATACTGTGCTTGGAACACACATTCCTCCCGCCGGTCATCGTTTGAGAGCCAGACTATACCGACTTTGAATGCAGAATATTTAATAACTTATGAGTTATTGCGGAAGAACTATTTTTATTTCTCACCTTCAACACCCTGTATTACGAGAAGTGGGCACTTGGAGACCGTATGTGCCTATCTCAGTAATTATGAAATCACGAGAGTTGGCATCTGTCAATAAGCGTTATTGGTCGAATTTCGAAACACCTTGTATACGAGGTGTACTCAAGTACATAATATGTTCAACACATCAATAGGATACAGTCTAATGAATATTCCGAAAATGACAATTTTTTTTTTAACTCTTCTGAATAACGTGGAATTTCATCTTCAAAAATTGAACAAAAAACAAAAAAATAATTTACGCCACTTCAAGACAATTTAAATGATTGAACTCCTCGTGGTTATGCCTTTCACATGGAGATATGTACGAAGGTGACGTCAGAATTACTACAATGCAGAACTTAGAGTATAAAAACGGTCTAGTCCCAAATTTCATTTTAATCTCATGCTCTCCAAAGATTCAGGACGCGCTTGTCACCACTGACATGTCCAAATTGTCATCATTTTCAGATTTGAACGTCTGTTTTGAAGCTTGTAAAGGCGTCCCAGCAAAAATGACTCCGAAGATGTCTTGTTCGGTGATGAATTGCAAACATTCTAAGAATGATGGTTACCATTTATATTTGACTTGTCCAAAGTCGACAAAAAATTTCAAGTGTTTGTTGAAGCTTAAAATTCCAATATTCATTTCATGGAAATACATTGAATGATGAAATATTGACATAACTACAAAATAAGCATTATTTACCTTTGGTGTTACGCCACTGTTAGGGTTTTGAATAATAATATGTTTAATGAAGAGGTAAATTAGGGTCCCTTGATGCAAATTGACGTATTTGTCATTGTAATTTAACAGGGTACGAGCAGATCATAGCTCCTTCTTCTTTTAATCATTTAGTGACTTTGGTTTCATGTATTGGCGTCCCTGACATGACATTGCTGACACGTCACATTCATTTGCGATAAAAGAGATCTTACAAAATTTCAATGTCATACTTAATACGACATTATTCAATTCTGTTTTGGAAGGATGGTAAAATGTGATGCGTTAGGCTGTATCAATCAGTTGGATGGCATATTTGAATTTGTCAGCTTTCCATCAAATGCAAATGAACTTAGAACATGACGTAACCGAATGGGGAATATTGGTAAATAAATCAGCAAAATATTCTAGGTAAAACTAATACTTTCTCATTGTGCCAATAATTATCCACTCCACAAGTTTTTGAATGCATTTCAGTAGAAACAGTTTTGATTAATAATAATAATAATAATATAAGTTTATTCAAAAACGTTTACAAAATATACATTGGAATAAACATATAGGTAATTTGAATAAACTGGGAAAAACGGAGGATTAAAAGATACGATTTAAAAAAGTATACCTACATTCAGGAAATATTTAGTGTTCATGAAAAACTGCAAAAATGATACCTAACTTGAGTATATACAGCACACATGACATTTGAGCACATTAGTTTGAAAACCTACATAACATTTTTCACTATTTCTCAACCATAAGGCTTAGACTGAAATCAAAATTCATGTATTGATAGGTACTGCCAAAGAACAGTACCATTTGGTGAAACGTATTGAACTTTCAAAAATATTTGCTCACTGCCTCACAAAGATTATGCTGGATTATGTCCTCAATATAACCTAAAAAACAACAAATGTCCGAAATCTAGTGTTTATCCACAGAAATGAATAAAGATGGAACTATATAACTGTTTCACAAACAACTTTAGAGTGAGAGGAGACGAGGATCTGTCCGTACCCTGTTAAGATGACAAATACGTCAATTTACATCAAGGGACCCTAGGGTAAATGACATTCCATCTTTCAAAAAATATATTTGTGTCTGGTGTTTTTTGTTCAGCTGTTCAACAACATGACAAGCGAAATGAGATGTTAGACACACTTAAGATTACTCAATCCCTCACCTATTCATCAACCTCCTCTCCTTCGGTGTCAACTTCGTTTGTCCGCCAACGGCAGTAGACACGAACGTCGTGCTATCCGCGCTGCCTACCTCCACTTCCATCTCCACCTCCTGCCTAACGCTCTCGTACTCCTCCGTCGTCTCGCTGCTCCCCTCCACCCTCAACTTTTCCCCCTCCTCTCGCATAACCATCTCCGCTGCCACGGTGTAAGTTTTGTACCTGGTAACAGAAACAGACCGATGAGATTTAGGCTACGTTCAACAAGCATAGGGGTTCTGAACGGCATCGGTCCATGCATTTGTGTTTTCATATAGTATCTGTCAAAGTTGTCATGAGAACCCCATTTGATATGATAATTTCATTTTTATTTCTAAATTATAGCGGTGAGAGTGATTTTTGAACGAAGGTGCTTGTTGAAATCAATTCCGTGAACATTCTCAAATATATTGATGATAGATATCGGCCGATGGTGAACAGGTATACCATGCTGGAAATGTTATTTGTGTTGAGTGATTAGTGTACAGGAACAGAAACTTGAGATCATTGGGCAGGTTCTACAACCTTCTGTTGCTCTGAAAATGAAGACATCCAACGAACGATTGGACATGGTTGTGTTTGTTCTTGTAAAGCTGGCGATTTATAAAATAGGGCCTACAACTATAGCGTTTACCAATGAAGATAGGGATTGAAGAAACTGTTGTATCTTTCTACATAACTAATGATGCTGTTGATGAAAAGAAATTTGAACACTTGGTAAATTTGTGAGTCTGATATGATTTCTAACTTTCATTAATGATTGATGTTATTTGTTTCTCAGGTAACACATAATTTGCCCCACATACATTTCTACAATGGAGTAAGAAGAACAACATTTGAGAAGATTTCATTACTATCAAGAATCTGAAGAGCAAAGTACCTAATCTATCATTTGGAATGAATGAAATGGAGTTTCAAATTATTCATAGTGTTAATCATATTCTAGATTAAGTTGGAATAAAACAAAATTAGGTGTATCATTTATTATTACTCAAAGAGTAAGGAAATTCATTCGCTATTGAGATCGCATTGGATTGTCTTCTACATGGATAATTCATTGGCATGTTCACAACGATAATGATCAGTACTGGTGAAAGTTTCATCAAAACTGGTGAGGGAGATCTACCTATATTCTTTCAGCATCTTTGTCATTATCAGATTCATTCCTGTTAATGAGGATAAGTTAGTTGATAAAGATTGGAGAATAATTGAAGACATATCTACGTTTTGTACCAAAATGAACACTCTCATTTTCATTCAGATCCATTAATCACAGCTTATACATTATGGTGCAACCTATAATCAGTGAATTCTGTGAGGGTATTGCATCTGCTTCACATAAAGCATAAATTCGGAATTGATTTCCTCTGCAAAAAAAAACATTATATAACACTGAATAGATAAAAAAATGAAAAAAAATTACCTTCATAATCTGTTTCTAAGAAGTATCTGCTACAGACAGACGTACATTTGGGAATAGGCTACTCCCACATTTTCAATGTACTGCCACACTTTATATGATTTTGCATCTGGTTGAAAAGTTGTTACATTTTGTATCTCTTATACTGTTTATACTGCGACACAAAGCAATATCTCTTGAACTTGCTGGCCATCATGTTATCTCACCCGCGAAGAGATTCATTCAAATGCATTTGCATGTCACAAATTCATTTACTGACAGTTCACGGAAACAATGGACTGAACGATTTGGACCATCGTTGATCTCATTTTAAATGAGACTACGTGGACCACGGTCTGATCCATAGTCTGACTACGGTCTGAACGAATTGAGACGAATTGACCATAGCCCGATCTGCCGGTGTTCAACAATGATCCTTTGTATGAGTGAAAAACTGGCCCGTGTCAAACGGACCTAACTGGTTGAGTTGAATTATGAAAAACAATAGGAGAACCATTTTCCATTTTTTCCGGTTCAATGAAGATCTCTCTATAGATGTATAGAAAGTCATATGGTGTTTTTTGACTTTCAAAGGTGAATTCATGAACGACACGAAGTCCTAACTCAAGAAAATCCTGTGATAATAGTTTATTCACTTACTTTTGGTACATGAAATAAATCGAATGTTCGGATTTTCAAATAATCCTCACACATTGCAGCAGTCAGTCCATGATGAAAGCACAATACACTTACTCAACTAATAGTATTATATCAATACCTGCTTAATAAACTACTAATGCTCTTATTTTATTATATTTCTACTTGAAATTGGGAGAACATTTTGAATGTTATGCTGAAAACATGACACTCGTGACAGATATGTCAAGGTCAAGATGTTTCCGCACGGATTATTTGTTGCCCCCCTGTCTCTTCTGCGTCCTGTCTCTTCTGCGTCCTGTCTCTAGATGCTTTTTATCAGCTATTATTGAATTCGTGCATCATCAACGGGACATCAGGTCCCGAAAGGAGGAAAACACATCATTGAAAGTCTAGTTCAACTACATAAAAAGATTTTAAACGCATTTTGAAATGTTTCAAGAATTTGTCCGTCATTCACGCCATCTATTATCTATCATCGAGAGCTAGTCTGACGAAACAATTGAAGCGTGGGCATACCAGAGGAATTATAAACAACTCAATCTCTCTCTTCCTGAAAAAAAAAAAGCTGTGATCCATCAAAATTCCCATCCACCTACCGATCTCTGGCCAGATTCCTTCGCTGCTTCGTCGTCATCGACTTGCTCGGGTGCTTGGCTTTCTTCGGCGTGGACTCCAAACTGCTGACGTCCGACTGCTGCGGAGTTCCGCTGACGGCGTCCGAGAAGAGCGTGAGGTCGTCCTCGGCCAGAGTGACGTCCTGCAAGGTGCTGTCCGCCAGGTGGGTTTGGCAGTCTTCGAACAGCTAGAAAACACCAGGGAGATTATATTTCATTTCATTTATTATTTGGTATTCTGTTCCTCGAATGAATTATGTAAACTCGATTTGATTCCTCAATCGCTCAACAGGAGTCGAATTGATACGTTTTGTCAATCTTTTCTCATCTTCCATGGAATGTTTCTTTTCATCCTCATCTCAATTTGAGGTTAGGTCATCTTGTTTATGGGTTGCGTGCAAGAAATGTGAGATGACCGACTCTGGAGGTGAAACATTGAAACACAACCTCACTTTTCTTATTTGTTTGCAAATGATTGAAATAGTTTTTCACAATCATCTTGGCATACTAATCGTGTTTTTCGGTAATTCATCAAGTCGCGCATACCATCACATACAACGTACAACGTACAAATGCACAAAAAATGCAGCGACAGACGAAGGAATCCGGCTGGTACATTATGATGTAAAGGTAAGTACCTACAGTAGTCACTCACATATAGTTTTGATTTTGAGATTTGGTAATTTCTCTGATTTCTCATCGTAATTCCTTTTGCAATAGGAGCTAATAGAAATACTCGTGAAATTTGTAAGAGAATGTTTCTTGTATTGGATTGATGCAATCAAACGGAAGGACTGGTCTGACATGCAGATGAAATATGATCGTGTGTTGTAGACATTTTCAATCTATTAGCAGTATTAGCTTCTATTGCAGAACTAGCAGAAGGAATTTGAATAAAAAATGACGAAATTTCATAATGAAACCTAGGCGAGATTTCTATTTACCTGAAAAATCATATTCCTTCGTCTCTCGCTGCATTTTTGTGCATTGTACAACAGCAATATGAAAAGGCATGCTTAATAAAACATATGTATCAGGATACATGAAAATAAATGATTACGCGACCTATGTAAAAGTGTGTAATCAACTAACTAATAACATTAATTCATGAATATAATTCATTCTCGATGTCCTTCAAACTACTGGAAAATGTTAATGACATTTTTAGAACAGCACATAACATGGCCACAGGCCGATTTTCAGAGTCTAAAGGTTGTGAACTTAAAAAAAAAACTGTGAATCCGGGCTTGACGAGCAGAGAATCACAGAAGGCACAGAAGGTAGCATCTTTGGTATGATCCAGTTCACTATTTGTAATTTCAATTATACAACAGTTGATAATACTTCATGAATGATCTTAAACCAGGAATTACTGTCTGAGCATTCATGTCATTCCTACTAGAAAATTAATTATACTTTATATATTATTTGCATGAAATGTATCAATGAAGAAGATAATGTAATGCAATAACTGAAATAAATAAATAAATAATTATTATTGTACCTATAAAACCTCAATACACAGAATATTTTTGATTCTGTAGTAATTCCCTCGATACTTGACCTATCCACTAATTGGGGTCTTAACAGGAATAAATTCGATCATACTACAGTGCAGTGCAGAAATTCCAAAACCATTTGGAGATATTGACTTGAAGAGTTGAGAGTTGATTTGCAGAATGATAAAAACATTCCTGAGGAATATGGGAGCTCCTGAACTTTTTCGCTTATGTAACACTCTTTTTGCCCACTTCGTATGTCATAACTGGAAGACTACAAGAAGTTTCGAAAAATGAATCCTAAACAGAAAGGACGCCTGTTTTGAACACTTCATTCCGATTGAAAATCGGTTCATTTGCAAAAAAGTTATCACATTTAAAAAAACCTAAGAGTGATTTCCTTAATTCTTTGAGCATTTTATTTGTAACCATATCAAATGAGTGCTAGAATATAATGTAAACATTTTCGTCTATCAAATTCAAGAAACCACAGAAAACAGAATAAATTCTGTGTTCCTAACATGACACGTTCGTAAACGTTGAACACGAGTTAGGTGATCAGAGTTTTTTTGTCAAGTAGAGGTTAGAAAGTTAACAACCCAGAGTAAGTTTCCACCCATTATAAACATGTATATTTACCTCCGTTTCACTGCCAATAGCCTCTGTAGGTACATCAGCCAACGAATTACAAAAGTCCGTTATCTCATTGAACAGCGACGGCGGATTGATGTCCCCCAGCTCACCAAAAGGCAGCTTCACGTTGAAAATCGGATGCTGCACCACCCCGTTGATGACGAAATCCCCTCTCACCTCCCCCTCGCTCGGCAAACTCGCCACGCTCGTCATACTCCCCTCCATGTCGTACAGGAAATCCGACGGTGGATTTATGTGGTCCAGGTTCGACAAGCTGTGGTTGTCCAAGCTCTCCAAGCTCGAACCGTGGTTGATCGAGTTGCTCAAAGCCCTGCGCACCAGGGATTTCTTTCTCGCCAACAGCTTCGGGCTCCTCAGGTTCTTCTCCAAGCCCACGGTGCTGTTGGTCAAGGAGGTCATTTGGGAGGGGGGTTGTACGCGGTCCAGCTCCAGCGAATTGATGCTGGTGATGCTGAGCGACATCTCGGCCTCGTTTTGGAAGACGGTCGCTATCTTGCTGGCCTCTATCGCTATCAGAGTGCTGTCGGTCATTGTGGAGGTGTTGATCGAGCTGAAGTCGTTGGAGGGTTCGTTTACTGCGTCAGGGACATCCACCGGATGGAACGACTGATGAAAACAAAAAATAGAAATAATTTGATTGGCAATAGTTCGAAATTCTTATTTTATTTAGAAACAGTACCAGAACCTAATCCAGATCACAGTCGTTGAGTTATTGAGCTTAAGGGTATTCAATCATTATTTTTTCACTTAAAGAAGTGTGTCAACGGAACGTGTCGGGGATTTGAGTATGTTGTGTAAATCTTTTTGTTTTGAGCGAGTTTCGCTAACATACAAATCAACAATCGTGAATACTTGCTATCAGTGTTACTTCTTTACTTTTGTAGACAACTGAATGTGGGATATAGAAATTATGGAGGGAGAAAATCAACATTTCTTTGTTCTATGTTTATTTTTGTTAGTTCTGGGTTATATAATACTATTATCGGGCCAAAAATGTACAATATCTTACCATTGCACCTTAGAAATAAGCCCTACAAACAAGTCAAATACTTTTTTTGAATTGACTCGGCCGTTACTTGATGGAAATTCATGGCAAATGTAAAAACTTCACAAACGATAAGATTTCCACAAATATCTCAAACACACATGTTTCGCTAACACAGTAGCTTCGTCAGGTGATACCAGTATATCATCTGACGAAGCTACTGTGTTAGCGAAACATGTCGTGTGTTTGAGAATTTTGTGGAAATCTTATCGTTTGTGAAGTTTTTACAAGTTGAATACTGTCGTCGTGAGACGATGGGAGGATTATAGTTGTTGTATCATCGCTATATGCTACATACTCTAAGGATCAATTAATCATGTTTTATGTCATATGTCATATGTAAATGTCAGGATGTCTATGACGACTGACATTGGCGGGATTCGGGAACTAGAGAGAGGGAGAAAGAGTCTTTTGGGGCTGGGTAAAGAATCAAAAGCTTTTTGTAATGTTGAACAGATGATTAAAGAGTAATAAATCAACACGGTGATTTCTTTAATAATCATACATGGTGGCAGCGGTAAAAAGAAGAAAAAACTCCAGGAAGTAAGCAGGTGAATGCTGAGCTATCGGTGATAGGGTTATCAAAAGCATTCGGGAGCTGAAATTGGGGACACAATGCTTGGTGGCGGAGGTAGTAGCGGTAATGGTGTTAGTGTTGCCTCATCAGGTAATACTGGGAATAACCTGAACTTGAATGTGTCTACTCCAGACAAATTCAATTTTTCAATACCAGCTGGGTGGCCACAATGGAAAAAGCGGTTCGAGCGTTATATGAAGGTAACTGGTCTTCACACGAAAAATGAGGAAGAGAAGATAAATATCCTACTCTATGTCATGGGTGAAGAGAGTGAGCAAGTTATAGTTCAGTTTGCTCAGGCACCAACCTCATATCAAGGGGCTCTAGATGCCTTTGATAGGTATTTCATACCTAGGCGAAATGTAATATTTGAGAGGTACAAATTCAACTCCAGGATACAAAAACCGGGCGAATCTATAGATTCTTTCATTACGGCCATACATACTGTTTCATGATTCGAGATATGAATAAATTAGTGGACTGTATGGTTTAAAAATTCATCGAAATCACAGAGCGGTCTATAAAGGCCACTTACCCATGATGTCTTCTTGCCACGCCAAATTCGTATAATCTGCAGTCTTGGAGATGGTACCATCGACGACCCACATCTGATACCCAGAACAGGACACTATGATTGCACTATATTGTTTTTCGTCTAATTGTTCATTATAGGAAGGAATTTAACCTTTGTTGGAGGTTCACCGGTGTAATTAAAAACACGTGTATAGCTCTCAGAGAGTCATTAGAGAGAGAGAGTCATGGTTTTCGTGGTACTACGTCCTCGTGATTCTCTCCTTTGGAGAGGGGAAAGGATCCATGTGCCCCTAAGTATAGTGGCCAATAGATACTCTGTGATTGAATACGCGCGAAAAATTAGGATAAATATATGAGACTATCAACTAAGTCTTTTGGCAATTGTATAAACTTAAATATCTATTCATCAAATACTGGCTTGATGAAACATACCGCCCATCAAAAATTGTAAAAAATTTTTAAAAAATAAACTTGAGAAACAAAAAAAACAAAAAATAAATCAATTTCTTTGCCTTGAGCAAAACATTATGACATAAACATTAATGATTATCGGAAAGAGGGAGCGGACATACTTTTTGTACCGGACGTTTGAAGGTACCCTTTGTGGTTTTTACTGAAACAACTCTAGTAATACCATCAGCTCCAGTATGTAACTCTGTTACTCGTCCCATGTTCCACTTTAAAGGCGGTGATAGATCGTCTTTCAAGAGAACCAATGTACCTAATTCGATGGGGACTGCGGAATCAGTCCATTTTGAACGCTGCAAGAGCGTATGGAGGTATTCGCGATGCCATCTTGCCCAAAAATCCTGTTGGATTCGCTGGACAAGCTGCCATCTCGAGAGCCTACCAATGTTTAAATCTGTCAGATTATGCTCGGGTAAGGAGTTGAGAGGTGCCAATGTTAGGAAGTGGCCAGGTGTGAGCACATTAAGATCATTCGGATCAGAGCTCATAGGGCTTAAGGGACGAGAATTAAGAATAGATTCAATCTGGATCATCACAGTGTTGAGTTCCTCATAGGAAAGAATCTGATCCCCAACAACACGAATCAAGTGTTTCTTAACCGCCTTTATACCAGCTTCCCAGAGTCCTCCAAAGTTTGGGGAAATGGGAGGGATAGTGTGAAACTCAATATACTCAGTTTCAGCAGCTACGCGCATGAGGTCAGAAAGTTTATTAGCAGCTCCAACAAACACGGTCCCTTGGTCACTATAAATATGATTACATTGGCCCCGTCGTGCGATGAAACGTCGGAGAGCGGCAAGAAAAGTATCGGACGTCATGTCGGTAGTGAGTTCCAAATGAATGGCCTTAGTCACCATACAGATAAAGAGACATAGGTAAGACTTTAAAACCTTAGCACCCCTAATACGACCCATTGTTACAGGAAAGGGGCCCCCATAATCGATTCCAACTCTGGAAAAGGGTTTTACCTGAGATAATCGGACAGATGGGAGGTTTCCCATTAAGGGTTGACGAGAAATGGGATTGACACGAAAACATCGTATGCATTGAGAAAGAATTTTACGAATCGTTCGTTTTGGGGATAAAATCCAGTATCTTTGGACTAACAGGTTTTGAAGGGTTTGCAAACCTGGGTGCAGATATTTATTATGGGTATAGTCTATGACCAAATGAGTGAATCTATGATTGCTTGGGAGGAGAACAGGATGTTTGTGTTGAAAAGTCATATGAGGAGCGTGGACTAAACGACCGCCCACCCTTAGGACACCCTGGTCATCAAGGAAGGGGTTTAATTTACGCAAATATTTTGGTAGAGGTCGTTTTCGATTCAATAAATCGATTTCCTTAGAAAAAGCAATATTTTGGGTATATTGAATGAGAATAAGACAAGCCCGTTCTAATTCTACTGAAGAGATAGGTCCATATGTCCGAGCCACTTGGTTGAGACAATTATGTGAGAAGCGAAGAATGTAGACAATAATTCTTTGGATTTTTCTGAACGATGAATGATTGTCCAAGAGATTTTGAAGTGGGTGACTTTCTATAGAAACATTCAGTACTACTTTACGTTGTTCTTCATCAGTGGTGAAAGAATAATAATAAGACTCATCAAAAATATGGGGTGGCCAATAGGATGTGGGGAGTTTCAACCAGGAAGGCCCCGCCCACCATATGGATTTTGAGAGAAGTGCCGAAGGAGTTAAACCTCTGGATGCGGGATCGGCGGGGTTATCTCCTGTAGAAACATGATGCCATAACGAAGGAGGAACCTTTTCTTGAATATCAGTGACCCGGTTGGCGACAAAACAAGTTCTATTATGAGGACTACTTCTGAGCCATGCGAGTACTGTTGTGGAATCTGAGTAGGCGAAGATTTTTTCCAGTTGGAATTTTCCGGCATACGTAGACTGAACAAAAGTGAGTAAATCAGCGAGAAGCTGAGCGGCACAGAGTTCTAAACGTGGAATAGATATTCTTTTTAACGGAGATACTCTGGACTTGGCACAAAGAAAGTGAGTAGAAATATCTTCATTTTCCGATATAACTCTGAGATATGAGACAGCAGCATAGCCCACCTCACTGGCGTCGCAAAATCCATGGAGTTGAATAGACAATACTGGCTGCGAAAATAAAGGTCGGGGAACGTGAACTGAAGATAAAGTAATCATGTCCGATTTGAGGTCAGACCATAGTTGAGCAATATATGGTGGTGGAGAGGAATCCCAGTCAAGACCGAGAGTCCATAAAGATTGGAGGAGATGTTTTATAAGCAGAACCACCGGAGTGAGAAACCCCAAAGGGTCAAATATACGAGCCAACTCAGACAAAATATTACGTTTTGTACACAATTCATGTAAAGGAGTAACTTGATAAGAGAATGAGTCAGTGGAAGGGTTCCACTGGAGACCTAAAATTTTAATCACTTGATTGGGTTCAAGGTCAAGTTTTAAAGGATCGATTTGGAGTGAAGATTCAGGCAAATGAGAGAGAAATATGGAATTGTTGCTAGCCCACTTGTGCAATTCGAAACCTGCTCGGCTCATTACTTCGAGTAAATCAGCTTGCAATTGAAGTGCCTCTGACAATGAGTTACTACCAGTCACTATATCATCAACAAATGTATCATTTGAAAGAACCTCACAAGCGATAGGAAATTCTTTCGAATGTTCCTTGGCTAGTTGAAGAATTGTACGAATAGCTAAAAATGGCGAACTCGTGACCCCAAATGTGACAGTACGTAAACGATATTCTTGAACAGAATCAGAGGGTGAAAAGCGCCACAAAATCCTCTGATAATCTTGATGGGGTCGAGAAACAAGAATTTGACGATACATTTGTTTGATATCGGCTGTGAAACAAATTGAGTGTAATCGAAATTTCAAAAGAAGTGTGGATATATCTTGTTGAAGCTTTCCTCCGCATAAAAGAGTGTCATTTAGGGACAAATTATTCTTACATTTCTGAGAAGCGTTAAAAACCACG